GGGGGGGGGGGGGGGGGTTGTCTAGTTAGCTGCTTTCTTTCAATTTTGCCTTTGGGCCAGCAGAAACAGCCTGGCGATTTTCGCGCCGTTCCGCCGCCTCGGGCGGTTTACTGCCACCCTGTTGGTGTGCAGATGCTCAGAAGTGTGCGAGCCCTGGAAATCAAGACTTGTCAAGTCGGGCATCCCCGAAAAGAGTCAACTTAGGTTCGTGTGATTGGAATGTAAATGCATGTCATTCTGTGGGGGGGAGATGAGAAGAATCACGACTTGTGGCTATACTGATGGACGAAGGTCACCCAAAGTCGGGCCTCCTTAACCAAGCAGATAAGTTCTCAGGCAACTGCTCCTCGACACTTACCTGAACATGGGGTTCATTGATGAGGCCAGCATGGACGACGAGCTCCGACAGTATCTCAAATGCTGCGATGCTGCTCGACGCCACTACTGCTCCAAGAAAATGCGAAAGGAGCCAGTGGCCATTGTCGTTGAGATCCAGTACATGCTGCAGTGTTACTTCGACATGCGGAAGTATACGCATACCTGGTACAAAATCGTTCGGGCAGAAGAACCCGAAGCCCTCGTCTTGGACTACAACTCCTAGTGTCCTAGAGTTAACACCCAGAATCTGGGGACAGCTTATGATTAGCAGACGCTGCCTAAGGCAACGTCTCTCTGACATGCTCGAAATTTATAGATGCCCAGATACAGCGCTCTCTGGGGACTTCCAGAGGAAGTCCTTCTGTGGAATCGTTAAGGGAATGCCGCCGCGGCCTTGCCGCCCCGCCACGCGCCTCGGCGTCCTGGCTCTAGAGACCGTGCCCATGAAATCGTCGTAGAGACCTTCGCTTTGTGCTCTGCAACAGTCGTGCTTGAGATGCATTGCCTTGATGCATCGTGCGCCAGGTTGAGAACCTCAGCTCCCACCCAGTCTTGGCCGACGGCAGGCCGAGCGGCCTAGCGGCCCAGAGCGCAGAGATGTGCAGAGATCTCTGGTGATCAGGCGACTCGGCAGGTCCGAGGTCGGCAAGCTTTCGGTCGGCGGGTCCCTTGAATTCATGGCTAAGGCACCGCGGATCGGATCGTTCGAAAAGCGTTTTTTTGCCTTGTCGGCACAGGACGGAAGCCTCTTGGAATTCAGGCTGCGAACAGCGCAGCAACGCTGGAGCACTGGCCGAAAAGCTTAGTCTTCCAAGCGCTGCATCGACTGTTTCAATCTCCATGGGTGTCTGTGGGTCTGTGGAGATAGCGCGGGCTGATGGCTCGGTCAAGCAGAAGCGCCGGCAGCTGGCATGTCGCTCCCAAGTCTTCTAGAAGGGGCTCAAGACGCGCTTAGCGGCTTAACGCAAGGCCTCAAGGATTCAGATACGAAGCGAAGCGAAGCGTTTCCTTTCCAGCATGGCGGATCCCAGTGGCTACTACGCTGTCCTTGGCGTGGACGGCCTACGCACGGATGCAACTAATGCCGCTTGTGTCCGCTCTACTTCTAAGGTGTCGCAGACGGCGAGTGAGGCGGATGTGAAGAAGGCTTATCGGAAGGCCCGGCAGGATCTAAGACTGATCTCCACAACTGCAGCCCCGACCCTGTCACAGGAAGCTTTGAAGTGGCATCCGGATAAGAACCCTGACAACAAGGCAGGCGTCAGGCATGGTCCCAGTGACCCAGAGTGGTCCTTGGAATGTTCATCTGCAGGAGGAAGCCGAGAAAAAGTTCAAGGCCGTTGCAGAGGCATCAGAGATTCGAAGATTCGAGAAAAGAGAGAGTGCCGAGTGCCGAGAAGCTCCGTTTTGGAGGCCTACGAGGTACTGTCTGACCCCCAGAAAAGAGCAGCCTACGACCGTGGCGAGGCCGGGCTTCTTTTCTGTCGCTTCCCCCCCTCGCAACTCGACCCGTTCTCCTGCGGAGAGGCGTTCGATGGAAGTGGCATGGGTGGGTTCCACTCTGGATTCAACGGTGCCCCGTGCTATGCTCCGCGCAAGCAGCACAAAGACTCAGTCTTGTCAATCTCGCAGGGGATGCTTTCAGTGTCTTTGAGCAGGCAAGGATGAGTTCACAGTCTTCCCGTGCTTTCTTCTCTCTCTCTCTCTGGTTGACCCTCCCTCTTCGCTCCATCAGTTCTTCGGTGGCCGCAATCCATTCGCCGAAATGGATCGGACGCCGTCTCAGCATCAGGCACTATCGCCACTTTAGGACCCTGCGATGGGAGCAGGAGCTGAGAAGCTTCGCAGCTGGCCTTGCCAAGGATGTTCGAAGAGATGCACAGGGGCTCCAGGCAAGAATTTGGGTCGTGCGAAGACTGCGCCAGCGCGCCACTTCGGGGAGAGTCGCGCAGGTCTGGGTCTGGGTCCGGGCGTGCGAGGTCCAGCTTCGGCCCTTTCCTCGCCTCTGAGCCGAGTGTCTTGACAGTTGGGATCCCCTCTCCCCCGAGGAGCCTTCGACGACCCTTTCTTCTCGGGTGGCTTCGGCCTGGGCCTAGTGGGCCTAAAGCCTGAAGCTTTCAGTGGTTTTCTTCGGACGGTATGAGCCCAGGCGGTGGTGCCGGTGGTGCATCCTTCAGCTCTTTCAGCAGCTCCATGGGCGGCGGGAGTGGAGGAGTGCGGTTCGGTTCTTGGGCCAAAAAGAGCTGCAGCGGCTGCCAAAGCCTGTGAGGCATGATGACCAGCACGACGACCACCACCAGGAGGGACCCCCTGCCTCAGTGTATCTCCTATCTCTCTGGCGTGGCGTGCTGCGACGTGACCCGAGTGGCAGGATTGTGAACGGTCAGAAGGTCACAGTCACCGAGAAGACGGCTCCTTCCTGAGAGGCTCAGGGCAGACGGCGGCAGAGCTGGGTCTGCTCCCCAGGTCCGCAAGCCGGATGGTACGGTCGAGACCACAAGAAGCGAGTCCAAAGGGGATGGAAACGGCGCAAGCGGTGCAGGCGGCCCCTGGGCGCGACTTCCTGGGATGGCCTGCCTCCGTGCCTCCGTGCCGCGCAGGAATGCTCGGCTCCGGCTTCGATAGCTTCTTTGGAGGCGGTGGCAGGCACCAGGGGCGAAGAGTCCTCGTCTTGGGCCTTGGGCTTCACCGTTTGCTTTTCGAAGCCGTTTTGGGAGGCAGCAACCTTTCGGCCTCGGATGGTCGGGATCAAAGATCATCTTTCGCTATCAATGGACCAGCATCGCTTGCTGAAGCTCCTCTGCAGGTGAGCTGCTGCCGATGCCGCGGATGCAGGCTGGAATGTCTCTGAGCCAGCGCCGCGGGGGTTCTAGTCGCCTCAGCTGTCTTGAGGCGGCTCTCTTGCTAGAGGCGTGGCAAGATCCTGGGCGCTTGTTTCGAATTCGTTTGGAGATCCGATACGCGAAGTGTGCTGAAGCGCACTTCTGTTCTGCTGGTTCGACCTTGGTTTTCCTTAACGAACAGGTGCGAACCGCGAGTGGACAGGTCTAATTCGCGCAACGCTCGAAAGACCAGAGACTGACCCGGCTGCGTTCGGTCCGCACAGGTGACTGGTCGCAGTTTGCTCGCGGTACTCTCCTTGAGAACAAGATGTATCCATGACTCAGTGGACCGCTGCTTCGGTAGTATGCTGAATTTGCCATGATGGCTTCGCTGAGAAAGGCTGGCTGTCCCATCCCTGTTGCGGCGTGTTGCTTGAATTGCAATGCTCGAGAAGCTTAGCCCCATGCTCCGATGAAATGCAGAAGAAGAGACTTCGCCAGACTTACATAAGATGGTGACTTCGATTACCGGAACATGTTACAAACACCAAGACATGACAGTTATTCGCCGGCCCCGCCTTCGGCTGCCAAATGAGGAATCACCAAGGCCCCCTATTTCAATTTGCGCGAGTCGCCTTTGGCAGGGCTCATGTGCGCGGCGTCAGGATGTTACAGGCCTGTTTGTTGCTTCGCACGACACTGTTAACAACGTCGAAGTGTCCCAGCATAGAGTATGCAGACCTTCTGCACCTCACGCAAGCCAGGTCGTGCTTTTGCAGCCTGGTGTGACCCACGAGGAGGGCGGTTAGGTGAGGAAAGGTGCAGTGAGGAAAACGAAGCGAGAGTCGTTGCACTCTACCTGACGCAACCGGGCTGCGGAGAGACAGTCAGGTACAGTAGCGGTCAATCATACAAGGAGCGCAAGATAATTCGACCCGTGACCGTAACTCTCATATAGCCACCGACCACCGACTCACTATGAGTTGTTTGCAAACCGCCAAGCAGCTTGCCGAAACATCACGTGCCGCGCTCGGGCTCCTACAACTCGGCTCAGACTGGCATGATATATGCGAACTCGCACACATTCAAAGAGCAGCAAACCACGGGTCATGCGTATTGCAACCTCTGCCAAAGCCAACGAAGACACCATCGGGCTGCAGCAGCTCGCGAGCTCCCTGCCTGTGATGGCGCGCGGCCTCACAAATTAAGGCCGTTGCCGCATTGCCGGCTGCCAACACTCGGAAGGTGTATGGGTCAGGCAGTTGAAGGTCGCAGTGCAAAGGAAGCTTGGTCATCGCTTTTCATTCTCCGTCTGATGGGAAGTGATTGGTGGTAAAGCCTCCAGAAGCTGTTGAACCTGCTTCAGGCGATGTGAAGTGCAGAGGTGGCCTAGCATAGGCCAGTGACCGTTTTTGTGCCTGGCCTGTACTTGGATGTTTTTATTCCTTCACGAGAACATGTTTAGTTTCATCTGCAGCCGTGCGTGGGCTTGCAGAGTTGCAGCTCGCATGTGGCTGCGTCGTTTGAGAAGAGAAAGCGAACGTCTCAGCGATCTCTGAACAGCATTGCACCGGTCTAGACTTTGCCAAGCAAGAAGCCACGTCTGCCCAAGTGAGGTCATGTCTCGCTTCAGGAGACGGATCCATGTTAGTTTCCTGCTGCTGTATGCAGATGCGGTGCCGTCCTTACTGATGTCTCCGACCATTCAAAAAACACATCGAAGCAATTGCTGAGTTGTCTGTTCTGCACAAGTGTTCGTCTACAAGTTCTTCGTAGTTGTGAAGCGCTGTCCATCTCAGACGAACATGACTCGTCAGCCTGTTCACGTCGCTCACAGACTGACAGTGACTGACATGCTTTCCGCGAGACGACCCACCGCCTCCTTCCAGAAAGCCCCCCCACCCCCCTGGCTGGTAGAGTCTCCTAGCTCCTCTTCTATAGCCCCTCAAGAGATCGGAGCTGTGGCGCACGGTACCCTTTGCGTCCACAGCGGAGGGCTCTTTAAGCAGGGTTTCGCTGGCGCGTTCACGGGCCAAGGTGACTGCAATCCATGAGGCCATGCATCAAGGCAAAAGCGGCGAAAGTGGCGAAAGTCAAAGGGTGCAGTTGCATGGACGTTGAAGCGATTGCTTGTGCTGCTTTGTGGCTATGGCCAGGCACGAAGCGCCTATAGACGAACTCATGCGCCGGGACGGCTTTCGGGCCGCTCGGCATCAGCCGGTTCTTGCTGACGAAGCGTTGCAAGAGAAAGTAGCTCAACACCCGTGTGCCGTCACGAGATCATTCGAGGTTTCCAGCCGCCCGCTGAGCAAGACATCCCGAGCAAAGGACGTGCAAGCATATGGGGTTTTTGAAAACCAGTCCTTGAGGGCGACTGGGCAGTGACTGGCAGGATGATGCAGAGGCCATGCCCATCTCCGAACAGGTGCATGTTGGGCTTCCGAAGATCCTTTTCTCCACACTGAGTCTTCCTCTCAATTCAGTATGTCCCGCCCATGAAAACATGCTCTTTCAGGGTGCTTGCACGCGCGGCTCATTCAATACTTCTCCTTAGAAAAAATGCGGCAAGATAGTTTCGGGAATCTAGAAGAAAAGACGAAGTTTCAAGAGTTTCCAATGTGATGGTGTGCTGGTTGCGATTGTAGTCAGTTTCGGGTGATTCGAGTCCACAGCGAGACCGTAAAAAAAAGGGCCCTTGCTCGTGTTTTGATTCATGTCTCGCAGGCTCAGAAAGACTTCAAGGCCGTGGAGGCGAAGGGAAGATCCTACATTTGGGTAGTTCTCTAAATTAGGGTCCCTGTTTAGGTCCCCAATATAAGAAGGACCCTACGCGGGGACCCTAATGTAGAGAACCACCCATTTCCGCTCCTTCTGCAGGCCGTCCTGGCTGAAGGCACGCCTGTCCGACTGCCGGACTTGGACTCCGACTCTCTTCAGGCCGGATGCTTATAGGCTTAGACTTCTGCGGACTGCGGACAGACATGGCGAGAGCCGTGCTCCATGAAACGCCAGGAGCGCTTGGGAAGGCATGGGGATGCCGCCTTCATGCAGCTTCAGATTCTAGCCGCTGGCCCAGCCTTCACATATTGGAGGAAGCTGCAGCCTGAGGTCTCGACCCGAGAGGAATCCGATGTCCGATGCCTGAACGGGGGGGGCAGCTTGCGGGATCTCAGAGAGGCCGCTTCAGTCGCTTCAGAGTCGCTTTTCAGGCGCTTCTCCAGGAGAACGCTGGTGCTGCGCCGCCCTATGGGCCTTTGGGTCTGGGCTCCCTGGGGTCCTTCTCCAACTTCGGCTCCGCGGTCTGGCTGCATGGATATATCCGGTTTTGCTGATTTTCCTGTGCCACGCATAAATCCTTGCTGAAGCATTTGAGATGGGCTATGGCCCGGGCATGTCCTCCGGTGCTTCATCTGGAGCGCCTTGCCTGCACTTTTCTTCAAAGCGGCGAAGAGAGGGCCGGGCTCAGTGAAATTCCGCAACGTGCAGAGCCCTTGTGGCGTGGAGTGCTCGGCTTTTTTCCTGCTCTTGTATTCCATGGTCAATGGATTTTACGCGTCTCTTTTCCAATTTGCATGTGAGAGACAACGATCTTCCTCCGATGGTGCAATTTCCTTGTCCACAGAACTTAGTTGTCCTTCGACTCCACGTGCACAGGCATGACATGCTATTCAACAGCCCGTGGGATGCAGCTATACTCAAAACGACCAACAGCATCGGTACGATCCATGCGACCGCTCTTGCAATGCCTCTGACAGTGTTGTGAGCCACGGCTATAACCGTGAGTGCCACTAAGTCGCCGTTCCTGAGCTCCTTCTCTGGTGCGCTTCAGCTGCAACATGCAATGGACTGCAAGGTCTTGCGTTTTGTGTTTTTGAGGCGAGTCTTGCAGGAAGTGCCATGACAGTTAGGCTATCATCTCCGTCTCAGGTGCTCGGGTCCCCGAAGTCTCCGTGCCTTGCCTCACACGTTCCTGCAGTGGATGTCCTCATAGGAACCGTTTCTCCGTCAGGTCTCCACCTGGCATGCCGATGCCCCCTCTGGCCAGTTCGGTAGCGAGCAAGGACAGCTATCGCAAAGTTGCGTGTCGATGCGTCGATGTCGCCTTGCACAGAAGCACGCTGGCTTCAGGAGTCCAAGGACAAGAAGGCTGCACGACGGGTTGCTCAACTTGCCGAATGGCGCGAGAAAGGCCGAACAGTCAGCTGAGTCAGTCATGTGAGGAGATCGATTTCAACAACATCGACTACATAGGACTGAAGACCTTGAATCGCGCCTCACCGCTTCTCAACCCTTGCGTCGACAGAAGCTCCCTAGGATGTATCATCCCGCAGTGGACGGCACCGGGCCTCAGAGAAAATCCCAATCACCTTTTGGGAAGCCCTCTCTGAGCTCCAGAGCTGCAGGATGGTGACTGGATCTGTGCGGAAGCTGTGGACGTTCCAGCGCCCCGGCTCGGCTCGCGTTCAGAGACAAGCACAGAGCTTTCAACTTTCCATCTCCGACCCCTGAGGACATGCAAATCTACGACGACGCCCAGCACAGGAGCTCCGGCGACCGGCCCCAAAACTCGGCAGAGCGCGAGTACTTTCTTTTGTTGGGAGGACCCGAAAGAAGCTGCGCGAGGGCGATGCGTGCACCGTGCGATGCCCCGACCCGCGATACTGGCAAAAGCCACAGCCTTCTGCGCTGGTTTGCAAGTCTGGGCGCTGGAGAGATCAGGCCGGCAAGAGCTGTTGGACGGGTGTTTGCTGCAGGGACCTGGCATGATTGTTGCACCTTTCCTGTGTGGATAGCTCGATTGAGGATTATTCTCTTGTTCAGATCCGACGTGTAAGACAGTGCCACAACCAGAATGCAAGGCTAGAAAGGGCTGTCGACAGTGCGCGGTAACCACGACCAAGCCGCAAGCTAAACTTTGAACGAGGGTTCTTGGCCCTGGAAGGTCTCCAGAGTAAACGTCAAGAAGATCGAGTGCGAGACCTCAGGCCTTGACATATGTGATGTCATCATGATGCCGTCAGCAATGCAGGATGCATATATATATATATACACATATATTTCATATATACTTACCCTAAACCCAATTAACCCTAAACCCTAAACCCAAATGCAACGCAGCCGTCAGGACGCTGGTTCCTCGTCCTCGGTTTCATCACCGTCGTAGTGCCTTTGTGTGGCTGTTGCGGTGCTGCGGCTGTGCTGGTGAGAATGAAGCTGAAAAAGAAGGAGAGCAGAGCTAGAGCAGCCAGATGTGGCATATTGGGGATGGGTAGATGCTGAGAGTTAACTCCCATGTTGGTTGCGACTAGCTTTCGCGTTGGCTGCACTCTTGGACGCCTAAAGCAGAAGCGCTGCATTACATGGCGAGTCGTTGCTGGTAACTTGAGGACTTGAGCGGTGTTCAACTAGACATGCCTGGGCGCCGCAGGAAAAGGCGCCGGCAGAAGCACCAGCAGCAGAAGCGGAGACGAAAGAAGAGACTCAGGCCAGACCCGGCTCAGATTTCCCGCTCCTTCTGCGGAGTGATCTCGAGGCAGGTGCTACGTCCTGACGGAGCTGTCACTGTGAGATCGGAGAGTGACTCCGTGGTCCGCCGCCCCACAACCCGCGGTTGAGCGAAAGCAAAAAGACCGGAGTCCGGAGCTGCGGTACTTCTGTTGCCGCCTGAATAGCCCCAACTGAAGCCATGTGTCGCGACAGCCTGAGCACTCGACAGCTAGCAGCACAGTATTGTCACGTTCTTTGTTGCGAGGGACCCTTGTTAGACAGGCACCCTGGATTTCTTAACCCAAATGGTTTGCATTTTGAAAGGACTCTATAATTGGCCAGTCAGAATCCCAACAACACCTGCAAAAACTCGTGCCCGAAGTGATTTCCGAACTGAGTCATGCGCGTATCCCCTGAGGCATGGCATCCTTTGATTCGCGCCCGTCTCAAACCATACTGCTAAACTATATAGATCTTGTATTCAGCCCTTACAAGAACACGCAACATAGGAACTTGAGCCCCTCAATTCTCTTTTTGGTGTTTTGTCTTGCATGATACAGCACTTGTAGTTAAGCCATTTTTTCGAGCCCTCCACAGCTGCTGTCAAGGCTTTTATTAGTTCAGCTTCTAGGGGCTTAGGCACGCCCAGAACCTCCCAAAACAGAAATTGAGGGCTTATAGTTGTTTACATAGTTTGATGTCGTAAACTTAAGAAAATTGCGGGGCTCAACGTCTTATTTTGGGGGGGCCCTGCGCGTGCTTGATCAAGGCTTGATAAGGCCCCGACAACAGCTTTGGGAGGCTCTATGACGGCTACGCAATAAAGCGTTGTAATGCAAGATTAAAGAATGAAAGCAAGAAATTGAAGTGCTCGATTTCTTAAGTCCAATAAAATTACAAGGTTGAGGGGCTCAAGTTCTTGCTTTGGGGGGTTCGGCTGTATTTTTGGGGCGTCTCTGTTTTGGAACACCAAATCAAGCCACTCAGTTTCTTGATTCGGTTTTGTCTTCGAGCGAAGAAAACAAGCGATGAAAAGTCGAGAAGGGCGAAATAAGAAAATGACGCGCCGAGGACGGGGTAGCTTGTGCGCGTTTCTCGTAACTGTTTTTTGGTCGTGCGGCTGTTCCGGGGGCATACTTTCTTAAGCCAATGCTTTGGTCAGCAGTGCTGCCTGTACCTCCTCGAGAGGCATGTCATCACGCTGCCGATGAACCCCCTCGGCCAGGGGCCCCAATCAGCCATTCAAGACGTTGCCTCTGTGAGTCTGAACCTGACCTGGCGCAGGCCCCAATGGCTTTCTGATAAAGGCAGGAATCCGGCGCTGTGTAGCATTCGGACACTGCGCAGCAAAGTCTTTCATGAGCTCCTTTTTCGAACGGTATACCGTCCGAAGCTGGGACTTCGGCGAGGGCCTCCCGAAAGGAACCCTGGGAAAGAGCGGAGGTAGGCTGGTGGGCCCGGGACATGAAGCTTACAGTCTTGCAGACCAAAACAAAAGGATTATATGGATCCTCCACACCTGCGATAGGGGGCTTTGCCCCTATCGAAATTCATCTGAGAGCGTTGTAATGTGCAGGTCTCAGACCCTCCTGAGCTTACCCGGTCGCAGTGGGCAGATGCACGGGGGTCGGTTGCTTTTGAAACGGTCCGACACCTGCTGCATGGCAGGCGGGAGAACACCTTCCGCTGGTTGCAGACGGCCTACGGCGCGCCGCATCCGCTGCAATGTGTGCCGGATTCGAAGGGGTTACGATGGCTATGAGGTGCTACTTCAAATTCAAGGGCCAGCTCGCAGCTTAAAAGCTCCTGACCCTGCAGTGACGGCACCGCTCAGTCGAATGCTTCTCATTCCGTTTAGGATCGAGGCAGAGGAACGAGCCCGAGCTTTTTCGCTGCAGAGATATTTGGCGAAGGCACGCCGTCACCGAAACCTGGACGACGGGACGACGGGGCGCAGCTGAGTTTCTGTTCCTGTGCTAGGATGGAGCCCTCGTGAAGGTGCGGAGACCTGACGCAAATCCCTCCTGGACCTTTTGTGCTTGTCCCCGCCTCAGGTGGCGGAGCTGTTGCCCGGCTCCAACCTCATCGCCTCAGTGTTTTGGCGGAAATAGAAAAGACTCTGAGAGCGGAGGGAAAAGCGAAAACGCGAGAGCCCGGCCGACTCGTCGCCGCGAGGCCATGCTGGACCTGCGAGGCTGGGAGATTTGGAGACTCGAGGCTTAGCTCTTGCCGCCCGATGCCGCCGGAAGGCCACCACCAGGAAGCTCAGGAAGCTTTGAAGTCCCAGCCCCGGGCCTTTTTGGAAGAGCTCTGCTGTCCTTCCTCGCTGCTCGCAGTTTGTTGAAGAACTGGCGGCAGTGCGGCAGCCCCGATGGACCTTTGGCAAAGGCCAGCGCAGTGATGCTTGAAGCATGTCGATGTGTCCGACTGCACAGTGTCACGCAGCCGCAGGTGGCTGAGATGCTACCCGGAGTGGACGTGCGATGCTGAGCCTCCTGAGCTTTCACCGACAGGGTTTGCTTTCTGATTTCTCACGCTGAGACAGGTTATTGCCTTCGGGATCCATGTCCAGTCCGGAAACTTCGCCCAGGCCCGGTGACTCGCAGACCTTTGCCAGGGCATGAAGCATGATCGCCTTACCGGAGGCTCTCAGATCGATCTCCAAAACACGCTGGACAACAATTACGGTCCGTGGCAGTCTGCTGTTGTGAGCTTTCACCTCTTTCTCTCAGATCCGCTCGTTTCCAGAGAGGGCGAATCCATCGTCCTGACCATGATGGCCGAGACCCTGCATGAGTGGACGCTCACCGATCTCGAGGAGAGCTCCTGCTCGAGTCGCGTGATCTGGCGTGGCCTATCGGATTGTTGAATTCTGTTTGGAAGGTCGTGAAGTTGGACATTGATCCCGTGGCCAGCTTCATGTACGGAGGCAGAAGCACGTTCACAAAACTAATGCTGTCGTTGCGCGCGCTTTTCGAAAAATTGACAGGCCTCTTGGATGTGGTGACTCTTCTTATCGAGGCACCGACTTTGCCATTCGCTTGAAGCATAAAAACCACTAAAGCCGGCTCATTGAACACAGATTGGCAAGCCATGCAAAAAAAAAGCAGCCCATCTCGCTAACAGAACCGGCGTCTCCTGTCGTGCGAAGCAGTCGGGCTTTGCGATTTTGCTAAACACAGTCCCGACTCTTTGATGCCACATCGCTTGCTGCTCGCCAGGTCAATTCCCAGGGCCAGCAGCGTGCGCCGCAGCAGATACTCGTAAGTCTTTACGCCACGATGCCTTAAGGACCAGACTACCTTTGCCACGCCGTACATGGCTAAATCAGGGTCCCTCTTAGGGTCCTTTGCATAAGGGCGCCGTACTAACTATATTGGGGGGGACCTATTTATAAAAAAGGGGACGCTACAAAAACTTAGAGAACGCGACCCACTGAGCTGCCAGGCTCCAGGGCCCGGCGCGTCCGCCTCAACTCGCCGCGCTTGGACGGGAAGCCCCATCGAGCCCTGAGGCAGGCGAGCCGCCTTTCACTTTTCTGCCACCCTTTTAAGTTTTTTTGCACCATATATTCCTTCCTAGACGGCCCCCATGCAGAAGTGCAGAGTTTAGACGAAGAGCAAAACCTGGTGGCTCAGAGCGCGCTCTGAGCTCCACAAGGACTCGAGTGACGAGAGCTTCCCCAACACAGCCTCGCAACCCCGTTGCCTCGAGATGTCGATGGCCTGGCTCCGAGAGGCTGCGGCCGCCTCAGCACAGAGGAGCGCCGGGAATTCGGCAGGGACAGTCCCGGCCGTTTCGGTTGGGTCTTCCCCGTCTTGGAGCCGCATCGACGACCTGGGCGGTGGGCTCTTCTTGTGCGGTGCGGCGGCGCTGGAGAACCGGGCGGAGTTGGAACGCCTGGGCATCCGCTCCATCCTGAACTGCGCCACCGAGGATCTCTACGACCGCTCCTACTCCCAGAAGGAAAACTCAGCACCCTTGCGCCAGAAGCTGGAGGCCAGCCCTCAGCCCGCCTTGCCGTCTGAAGCATCTTTGCCTGTCACCGTGGCAGGGCTACAAGGTGCAAGTCTTCGACGCCCAAGATGTCGAAGAGCAGCCCATGACCGATCTCTGGAAGCCACTGGCCCAGAGCCTCTCAAAGACATCGAATCGCAGCTCACCATGGATGTCTCCGGACTCTTCTGTTCTGAGGTCCGGCTCGGAGTTCATTGACAGCTGCCTTCAGACAGGAGGCGGCGTGGCCATTCATTGCGCGCAGGGCATCAGCCGGTCAAGCAGCACCTGCATTGCTTACCTCATGATGAAGGACGCGCTTGTTACATGACTGACTCATGTATAAGTTTCGCCGACATGGCAGTGGGTGCGAATGGGATCACTGCAGCTGCACGCAGCAAAGGATGAGCCTGGATGCCGCCTTTCGGCGTGTCTTCCAAGCTCGGAACTACATCCGACCCAACCCGGGCTTCTGGCAACAGGCGCGGTCATGCCAAGCCCAAGTACAACAGGCCTATAGCAGCTACCTAGCAACCCCCTGGGTGTGGAGACCCCACCTGACGCCAGTTGCGGGATCTCGAGAAGAAGCTCGGAACCCTTCCACCACGGCCTTCCAAAGCAGACGAGGCTGGCTTGGCGATGGCACGCCTGGACGAGGCCTGGAAGTGCAGCACTGTTGAATCACCGAGGCTTCGGAACTGTCCCGCCTCGAATGAGAGTGCACACCATGAACAGACTTGCACGAGGAGCTCAGCAGCAAAAAGTCTGCCATGGCAGCTGGGTGGCTCTGAATGCAGAGGCCAGTACCCTGGAGAGAGCGTGCTTTCCAGGGACACTCAGATGTTAACTGTTGCGCTGGCAGGAAATGGCATCCAGGGCAGCCCCTGCCAAGTTCTTTTCTGTGCATGTTCGGAGAGTTTTCCAAGGGGATCTATGACCACACCGAGCCACCCAGGAGCTTGATTTTCCATCGGCGGCGAAGCCGATTCGTAGCCATCCCCTCTTCGCTCCCCGAATTTCGAATTCGGACCGCCGTCGCTCTCTGCCTGGTTGCTTTGCGCAAGAGGACTCTGCTTTTAGCTTTTCCACCTCTGCAATGCCCAATGTACAGACGGCAACCCCAAGCACAGAACGAGCAGGAGACTCCGCAGAAAAAATGCCAATGAACTGCCACTAGAGTGTAGAGGGAGCGTCGCAGACCCTGGCGTCTTGCTGGGCAGGAACCCCGTCTACTGGGCGAAGGACAGTCACGACTATGTACCGTGGTACCTCACTCACGCGTGACGCCCACAGATGCCCAAGATCAGGACAGGGTAGTGACCATCTGCAGGGACGTGGTGACAACGCTTCTGCAGGACGGAAGTTGTAGCGCTGACTCGGCCCTTCCCTGCGCTGTCGCAGTGCCTTGCGTGCAGTCAGGACACCTTGCCCGAAATGGCCGCCGCCTCTTCTGCCTGCGGGTCGCGATGGATGGGGAATGAGAGAACCCGAGGTACCTGACATGGTCGACAGCGCGGTTGCTGCAGAGCCCTCAGGACTGGCTGGCAGGGTCCAGGGTCCTGGTCTTCGAGATGCTCAGCTGGTGAGGCCATGAACAGCCTTCTTCCCTTTTATCGCTCGTCGTGGTGGCCGTACAGGGTCTTTCTGCCCAAGGCGATGACACAAGCTTCTTGCTCCCAATGCCATGCCACATGTTGGCTGAAGCTCATCCACAATCCTTGCAATCGCGACCTGGAGCTTGCTCAAGTCTAATCATCGTTCTGTGTTTGGCGCTTGATGGCCACCTGCCCTAGCTACAAGGCGCGAGCTTCGTGGTGATCGCTCAAGTGGAGGGTCGCTGCTGGCTGCTAGGTAGTGCTCGTCGGTGACAGCCGCACTGGAAAGACCTCGCTGCTGAAGCAGTGCGTTGAGCACAAATTCTCAACCGACGTGCTTCCAACTGCTGGCTTGGACTTTCAGTGGAAGAAGGCAGCGGCGAGATGTTGCCTAATAAAGACCTCGAGTGACTCATGGCAGGTGCTGGGTGGACGTGAATGGATCAAGCTGAAGCTGTGGGACTGTGCCGGCGAAGATCGGTTTCGAAGCCTCATGCCTGCCTATCTGCAAGATGCAGCCGCAGCAATAGTCGTGTGACTCAGCTTAGCTTGTCTTATCTCCGAACAAGGTCGTTTTTCCCTTTTTTTGCGGGTTTGTGGCAGATGCATTCAGTTTGTCTCAGGGGCAAAGCAGGTACGACGTGACGTGCTGGAGATCCTGGTCAGCAGCCAGGCCGGGCTTACAAAGCCCTCCTCGGTTTGCAGCCGTCGTTCTTGCCGCTCCGGGCGGAAAAGATGCCACCGCAATGGCTAAAATATGACCTCTCATAGGCTCACAAAAAAACCAGTGTAATGGCGGCTCATGTGCTCCTTCGTGGTGTCAGGGACTGGGTGAGTTTGGTGCACCACGAGCTGGGTCAGGAGACGCTGCTCGCAGTGGTCGGCAACAAGGCAGGAAAGCCTCCCCACGCCAAAAAAAATTCACTGCTGAAACTTCTGAGGACTGCCCATAGGCCCCTAAGTAGTTCCTTTTCTATGGTTGATATTTCGAATCCTCTGGTCAGGTAATCCCAAACAGGAACTACTTTGGGGCCTATGGGTGAAGGTATTTTCCGTGAGAGACGCCTTGCTTAAGGCAGACCTGGATGGGCGAAGGGAAGTGCCTTTCGACGAGGCGCAGAAGGAGACCGAAGCTCTCGGAGCGATCTTCCTGGAGACCAGCGCCAAGACAGGAGAGAGACGGAAATATTTTTTGGGGGGGGTCTTGGGGCCCTGGGGCACAAGGTGGCCAACTGTGGGAGCGTAGGGACTCAGGGATCTGACTAGGCTACGGCGGGAATGTGTCAAGGTGGAGGAGCAAGGAGCCAAACTGACAAGTGTCGCGTTCTTTCTGAACCGTTCTCCCCCGGCAAGCTCGCGCTCAAGTTACTATAGCCCATACCAACAGGCGACAATGTGGACATACTCTTCCAGGACCGGGGCTGACGAAAACTTGAGGTGCAATGAAAGACTGTCAGACTAGAGACGGGACGGTGCTCTCAGTTCTCGGAAGGAGTTAGCCACGCAGCTGCCGAATCGGCCTCGACCCGTTCGGCAAGCTGCCGAGCCCCAGCTACAGGACGAGGACGCCAGGCCGAGGCATCCAATCAGCGAAACTTTTGAAGTTACTCTGCCTCCTTTTCGAAATGCCCGGCTAAGAGAGAGAGAGAGAGAGAGAGAGAGAGAGAGAGAGAGGCCTATGAGGAAGCGCTGCTGCCTGTTCCCTCAACTGTGAGCTCTTAAAGCACAGCCAGCCGGGCATCCCAAAGACCCAGCCGTCCGCATGTGCAGAAGAAGGCGGGGACCGGTGTCGATTTCAGAGGTGCCATGCCCGGCCACTGACCTTTTTCTGGCATGAGCCCGTGTCATCTTGCTTCCAGCCGTGAGCATCCGGATAGATCCTATATAGTCCTATAGGACACAGGCTGAGGTGCCAGACCACGTAGTTGATTCTAAGCTTCCTGACTGCAGGCGCGTCAGTATAGCCATGCAGCCATTCCTGTACAGGGCCTTGGGCCACGTGGAACTCTGCTGCTGTCACGCAAGCATGTAGGCGCGTTCTTTGTTGATGCAGAGCTTTGTTCTGTGGAGAGTTCTGCAGCATGACACAGTTTGAGTCTACCTGGCGACAGCCACATTTGAGTGGATGGATCAGCCACAAGAGCACTTCGGAGCGGCGCGCAGGAAGAAAGCCGGGTGAGTTTAGCAGGCACTCATGAAAGCAAGCTGCAGCAAGCTCCACTTCTGCCTGCAGTCGGGAGGCAGTCGGAAAGCCCCCTTCTGACCTGGAGAAGGTCCCTTCCTCAGAGTGATCCCACTGCGACTCGGCATGGCCAGTGCTTTTCGTGTGGCCTCATTGGAGTCCATCCTTGCCATATCTCAGGTCCTGTCTGACCGCATCACTCACATCTCCCTTCGGCACCGCACCGTCGTCCCCGTCCGCGCCGGGGGCCCAAGCAAACAGCGGTGGAACTCCTGGAAGCCGAGCGAGAATTTTTTGAGATCCTAGGCGGTGCCAGCGAGGGAGCCATGCAGGCAGACCAGAGCACATCTCACGATCTCCTTGTACGGTCTTGTATTGTACATGTTCTACAGCCCATTGCGGCATCAGATCCGCAGTGGAAGCATCTCTCACCGCTGCAGTGTTGAATTCAGCGCCTGCCAAGCCTCAAGAGCCCAAACGCTATTTTCGGGAGGGGGCCCGGCACCGGCAAAGCCCTCGGTGCGATGTGCTGCGCGGCGACCCAGCGGAGCGGGCAGGGCCCTACTCTAGCAGGCAACTCGATTCTGGCCTTCTTGCAAGGTGCGGGTGGACTCGCGCACAGTGTGCGCCCTTCCATGCTTGCATCCGAAAGCACTATACAAAAAGCCTATGCCACTCGATCTCCCCTCACATCTCCCTGCAGGGTTGGCCTCTGCTTGCGGGTTGCGCGCTGGGCTGCGCTTCGGGCCTCTTCCAGCTCAGCTCTTGGGCGAGAAGGCCCGGTTCTTTGGCGGTTGGGGGATGCTCGCTTCGGGAGCTTGCTTCGCTCCGTGGCAGAGGTATACACGTGTCAATTGTAAGTGCATGTATATCATTTAATATATTATATAACATATATAATATTATATTATATATGTATATATATTAATTATGAATAATATATATTATAGTATATTATATCATACTATACTATATCATAAAATATTATATTATAATATATTATATTATATTATATTGTATTATATTATGTTTTATTATATTATGTTATATTATATTATAGTATATTATGTTATATTGATTATATCATATTATATTATATTATATACATATTATATACATATATGGGTACATATATATATATATATACACATGTATATGTCGGTATGCATACTACATATATATATATATATATGTTTGAAAGCTGGGCATTGAAGGCATTGTCAGTGCCCTGCCAGGCAGTTCGTGCCTTGGATTAACGCACGCAATGAGCAGGCTCGAAGATTGCAGATAGCAGTCTTGCAGTTGATGCCACTGCCAGCGACAAAGCTCCCTACCCCCATTCTGCCTTCTGCCACAGGCATGGCTCGACGCCACCAAAGAGCCAAAGCAGCTGTACAAGCGCTCGTGCGGTGCCATTTGCGCCTAAACTCCATCAAGCACATGAATCATAATCATCAGGTCCAGCCAGGGCTCATGCGATCGCGCTTCTGCACGGCGCGCCGTTCGAGAGCTGGGAGATGCAATTTCGTCATGTCTTATAACGGCCCTCAATCTGGCTCAGGATGCCCCTGGCCGTTGTCGCAGAACTGCCAGGCCGCCCCTGTCGTGTGCAAAGCGCCTTCTGACTATGTCGAACAGAAACGAGTCAGGGGAGGACGTGGAGCAGTTGGCATCGATACTGGGCGATTATTTTTGCAAAGAGGCCGTGAACATGCCTGCAACAGCGGTAGCCGTGCAAGTTCTTTGTGCTCCGCAGTTGCCTCTCGCGAAGCTCATTGGCCAGAGCGGCATGGTGTGGCTGAATGAAAGGCGGCTCCCTGCAGTTTCTTAGGTAAGATTGCACCTAATTAATGCTTTGGGAAAGCCGCCTTCGTCTTTTCGTGCCTGCGCAGTTAAGATGGTGAGTATTAACTAACTCACACTCGGACTTTGCTGGAAGACCGCGTCAGTTCCAGGATCAAGCACTTAGGACGACACCCCGTGTGCCCTTGCGGAATGACTGAAGTTTAACTGTTGGGCTGACATCGCCCCGCTGGGGTGACTTCACTCCCATGCCGTGTGCCGCAGGGCTTGGGGCCACTCTACGCCGCGAGTTAAACCTATGGTGCTAGTGCACTCTTATTGGATCAACCTGGCGGCCGACCTGCCTTCCTGCCTGCCTGCCTACCTAGCTCCTGAAGCCAGGAAAGCATAGAATGGGAATCGAACTGTTGGACGAATGACGAGCTTCTGCTATGTAAGAGCCAGCTGAAACGGAGCCCCGATGAGCAATTTAACGACATTCTTGTCATACTGTCCAACAATCCCCTCAAGTGGCTCCAGCACCGGAACTGTTGGAGATTCGGCATAGTCACTAGGCTCACGCCTGCGGATCGTTTTGCCGCCTGAGTCTGCTGGTTGTGCGCGCATTGTGCCCCGTGAGCCCAACATATTGACCAGGCACGATTATGCTGTGCAAGACCCATACCGTCGTGCGACCCCGGAATGTGTTCGTGCGTCAACACGACAACTTCCTGCTTGAGTTTATGCATTTGGTCAGTATGCAATCATTCCCGAAGTCCCTTGCATGCTGTTGTATCCTCGGCTGAACCGGTGGGGCTCGCTCACGCGATGCAGTGTGAGCCCGAATGCTGCTGCAATCTTGGTCGTGTATTCTTGTTGAGCCATTTGCCCTCTCCGGAGGTGCAGTGTAAGGATGAAGTGAGGCTGTCTTGTAATGCGAGAGCAGTCGTTTGCTGCGGCCCCTGAAGGCTGAGTCGCGGAGACCTCAGCAACACTCGCAAAAAGCTCAGAGCCACAAGCTGGCCTTGGCAACACTCAAGCCGAGGCTTTTTGGCATCTTCCGTGGATGAGCAACCACCTTGGCTACAGATGTGCAACGATCCTCATGCCCTTGCCTGGCTTCGTCACGCCGTGCTTTTTTTAGAGGTCGCCAGCGGTGCTGCCGGTGGTCCTCCATGCGGAGGCGAGACGTTCGAGCGGGGGGTCACTGTCTCGCATTCTGTGACGCCCGGTATGCCAAGGTGTCTGAAGGCTTGTACAAGAGCCTGGGAGAAACCTGGTGGCTGCCCAGGTGCGTCGGGAGGGCAGGGGTAAGAGCCAGACCTGCAGAAACTTGGAGCCAACAAATGTCCCGTCCAGCTTCTCCTTCGCCGTCATCTTCCAGTGTCGCTTGGAAGCTGGGCCGGGGACTCCAGCGATTTGGGACCCGGAGCAGAAGGAAATGACAAAAAAAATCAGGGAATCCTTGATGAGGATGCAAGTTTCTGCAGCCCAAGTGGTCTTTACCGACGAGACCATAGATCAGGTCGCTGTGACCGCGTGTTGTGCGGGGCGGTTGGCGGGATGGCTCCCAACCCTGCGACCGAGTTGCTGCTGTTGGCTCAGCAGCTTCGAGTTTCACATGACAGTTGACCGCACAGTAACCCAGACACGGGGAACGGTCAGCCACCAGCGACAACTGTCATGGATTCGCAGATCACGGCGAGAGGCTTCAAGAGCTCGCAGCAGTTGGAGACTTCGGAAATGGCCGACCGGCCCAAAAGCAATATATGAGTCACACTTGCTAATGTGCCATGCTGCTGGTGCTGGTTCCATGGCTCGTCGTGCTTGCGCGGTCTGACGAGCCTTGGCGCGGAAATTGTACTGAAACGATATGCATCTTCCAGCCTTTCGGCTCGGTTTTCCCCAAGGATGCCCAGCTGGTCGAGGTGACTTGGAGCCGAAGGCTCAATGCAGGCAGGGCGCCCCAAGGGGCCAGGGGGCAGCGAATCTCAGAAAATGTTGACTCGATGTTTTCAGGCACAGCTGCGCCAGAACTTGAAGTAGAGCTGTCAATCCCGGCAGCGACGTTGCGAATACACCTGTGGCACAATCGCGCGTTGCTCCCAACTTCTGCCGAACATGTCGGCTCCTTACCTTTGCTTGCTGCTGGCTGCTTTTCTGTTCGATCGCCGCAGCTTGGGGCTTTCTGGGTAGGTTCTGCATTTCCGCGACCGGAGGGAGGCCGTGTGCCCAGAGGGGTCCAGCAAGCAGTTGCTACCTGTAGTTAGTTACCTTTATAAGAGCTACTGAAAAAGTTGCGCGACCCAGCAGATGATATCACATTGGCAAGCTATACTTCGACTGCAGACCGGTTCTGTGCAACAGTGCTTAGGTGATCCCTTTGCCCCAGAACTGCTTCTACGTTGGAGAGGCCCTTGTTACGTCAGAAAAACCTCCGGCCAAAGCGCCACACCCGCGGTTTTTAGCGAGCACACGAGGCAGACTTTGCGTCTGTCGCGCATGCAACAACGCAGGTCCTGGGAGAAGCTTCCAGAGTCGCCCTATCCACCTGCGAGGGTGGTCTCTCGGGCCCCTTGTTGCAATGCACTTTCTGTAGACTCTAAAGGACTCTACTCTAGGGGCAAAAAGGGGAGAAGGGCCCAGGGGCCTCTGCCCTGAGGCATGATCTTCCGGCAGAACCACACGCTGCGGCTTGACCCCGCGCAGGTCCGAGCCAGGGGAGGGGGGGGAAGAGTGGAAGAGTCTCGCACCAGAAGACGTCGAACTGTAATATACTATACCATAATATACTAGAATTTACTTTCATATATGCTATAAGATACCATAACTGTGATATACTAGAGGATGTTGGAATTTTCTTTGCTGGTGGCTCCTGGAAGGCCGCACAGGCATCGAACAGGAAGTTGACAGGAAGCGTCGTGGACTTACCTTACACACCTAGGCTCCACGTCTCCTGTTGACCCCGTGTTTTCCAACACCTGTCCAGGGCAGCCATTGGCTTCGCACCCTCGAAGGCCAGCCGACGCTGCAGTCAGCCGTCGTCCCAGCCTGGCTGCCTCCTCTCAGTTTCGGCGGATGCATACAGAGTCGCATGAGGTCCAGCGGTTCCTGCGCTCATCCCCTACCAGGAGGCAGGAGTTTGTGCGAATCACTCCAAAATGGCAGGTTGTGAATTCGGCACCTCGATGTAAGATACCCAAAGATCGCTACCTCCCGAAATGTCCTACTGGGCAGCTCGGGTGTTGAAATTGATGGGCTCCGGCTGCCTGTCTTGGCCCAATGCGCATGCGGAGATTGGTCTCGACATGTTTTGCCACTCATTCCAGATTTTACTTTCCACAGTGATTGCGATTGCTGTTGGGCACAGCACCAAACCGCAGCGACTCGTGCCGCATGATAATGAAGATCAAATTCATGTGACCAGTTCGAAGCAGTGTCCGAAAGGCACCAGCTCGACTTGAAACAGTTTTGAAATTCAAAAAGTGTAAGCCCTCGCGGGGACGGAGGGCTGCTCTTCGAGATTCTGGGGAGTTTCTGGGCGGGCGCAAGCGGCGAAAACGCGAGAGAAAGCAGCTGATCAGGGCCGTCAAAGAATGGCCATGGTTGTGCTGGCTGCTGCCCTGCTGCCGAAGCAGATTCCCGGCGAGGATGTAGGGTCTCGAATACTTCGAACTATTGAGCTCAACGTAAAAACCGGGATTCCTGGCCCCTGCCGAGTCCAACAGACCCACCGACATGGGCATGCGGTGGCACCCGCGACTACCAGAGGCTGCCGTGCTGATGACCGAAGCCGGCAATGAGGTGTCGAAGGAGACGGAGGCAGATGATCCTGGAAGCTGCTGGAGGGCCGAGTGCCAATGAGCCCGGCCGATTTTTCTGTGTCTGGGAAAGCTGCAGAATCTGACGGATCTCAACGGCTACGATCTCTACAAGGAGACGAAAACCCCAGACTCCACAACGCGGTGGTGGCAGTAATCTTGCGGGCTCAGCGGGTGGATCCGCTTTTCGTGCATGTGACTTGCTGGTCAGCGCACGGCCTGCCCGTCGTTGGCAGGCAAGCCCTCGTGGATGCCGTTGGATCTCCAACCATTAGTCTGCTGCGACCCAACAACCACACGGACCAGAGCGTCCCCGCGCACGGCATTCCGGGACTGCTCTTGGTGGTGAACTACGTGTCCGGGACCGGATGCAACTATGCCGTCGCGGAAGCCCTGAGAGACTGGGTGATCGACAGCACAGAGTTTATTAGGTTTAGTGGTCAGGGTTTAACAGTTTAGGGCTCCGTCATGCACCTCAAGGGCTTTTCTTGCCGAAAAGTGGATGGTCGCTTCTTTTTGCGACGATGCTGGGGCATGGATGGCTGGATTCTTCACAGGGGGATGTACACGAAGCACATACTGAGCTATACTTCGGTGGAGTGATGCTTGCAGACTGAGTCGACGAACGCGGCGGCTTCCGCCCACACCTGCCTGAGCCTTATAGCAGTATAGCATCATCATGCGCATTCGCCGAATGGCCGGCAAAACTCCGTGGCCCATCGCATGGAAAAAAACTCTCTATAGAAGAGTTGGCATCTGGGAGCCTCGAAGGTGGTGGAGTCGGCGAAAAGCTGTGGCTGCACCCTATAAACCCTCGCCAATAAGGGGGCCGGCATGAAGTTCAAGGGCTGCCGTCCACTCTCCACTCGGAGAGAGGACATCATCCAGGAAAGATGCATGTTGATCGCCCCCGATGAGAAGCCACAGCCTGTGAAGTGCCAACCCGTCGAGGGTGTACTGCGCTACTGCGCTTTTTTGGGAGAAAAAATGACCCTTGCCATGTGAAATGTGCATCTTTTGCATCTTTCTCGGGGCCTTCAATGAGAAGTCCGGGAGTCTCAAAAATCTGTGGCCGAAGCTGCACTGCAGGCTTAGCAGCTCGACCAAGTACGTGGAGGCCTGGTACCGAGGCTTCAGGGGGGTTTCCTCCAGCTAAAAGTCATACTGATTGATGGTCCGGGTGAGGAGACTTGCCAACTAGGCCTGACACACTGCATGGAGTATATAGGTTTAACGTTTAAGTCAGAGTCGCCAATAGATACAAGGTGTACACTTCCGGGAATTACAAGCCCGGATTATTTCGCATCTATAAACAGAAGCAGGCGACAGGAGGCACAAAGGACGCTGCTGCAGTTGCAGCACCGTGTCACTCCTAAGTCCTCGGGGTGTATCCTGCTTGAACATCCTCCTGACACGTGTTGTTGAGACGCGGGGTGACTAGAATCGGCCGCTGTGACGGCAATGCCACCAGCACATAATGTCATTTGCATGGCGGCTGAAGCTGACGAGAAGGCCAAGCAAGCAACTAAGCGGAAGAAGGATCTGCCGTGGCCCAGGTCCTGGCTGTCAACGACTTTTCGCGGTACACTTCCTTCGGAGGGCAATCGGGGCTGCAAGCTCTTGCCGCCCACACAGTCGCAATGCTCAACGCGGTCACCACAATATACCGTGCCCCGGCTCCATGCATGCCTCTGCAAATTTCCCGAGTGGGGTGAGCATGGCCCTGCCAGCTAAGGTGCAGCACCCACGGCTGGATCCTTCCCTTACCCCGTGCAGGCGCGCGCCTCTCGCAAGGTACTGTGAAGAGATCTATGTAGATGTGCTCGCATACAGCTGAGCAGCTTTTGGTGCGTCTCCGGCAGGCTTTGTCTCAGACCTTTTGCCTTGTTTGCTTTGCTTGCGTTGCGCAGGTGGTCTTGGTTGGCCAGCACACTTTCCTGGAGGAAGACCCCTGGCCTGGGCCCATCACGGCGCCCATCACTGGGCTCAGCAAAGGCTAGTATAGGGCTAGGATATGAGGATCTGATTCCCAGGCAAGCGAAGTTCCAGGACAACGCGGAGGCTCCGTCGCTGACAGGTCACAGAGTCTGCGGACGAAGATCTGTGGATTGCAATTGTTTCACCAGGCTGACCAAGATGCTCGACAGCACTTAGTGACACGCTGTGATGACTGTCAAAGATCCTGAAAGCCGTGTGTTTTTCCTCTGTTTTGTGTTCATTTTGCCGGAGGCTTTGTTGCTAGAGGAGTTTCTGACCTGGGGCTCTTTGCAGATGGCTGCAGGCCGACGTCCATGGTGCGATCTCAGAGCTCACTGGATATGTCTGTTGAGTCTGCTAAGGCTCCCTGCCCCAAAATGACAACCGGGCGGAAGCCTCGGAGGAGCATCGCTCGCCTGCTCAACTTCTCCGACTCGTGCCAGCTCCCAGGTGCTCTTGACCGGGCGAGATCTTTTGGGCAGCACTGTTGGTCTTCTGGCCGCTCTGTATGCCAGAAGTCACTCTCGTGAGAACCGGCCCTTTGCACTCAGGTTTTGCTTGCCTCTTAGTTTGCATGTTGCTGCTCCAGGCTGCCCCCCACAGCTGCATGCATGAGAAATTTGCACGAGGCACCGGTGTCTTCGATGTGTGATGTGGCGAGGTGGGGCATGGACCATGGCACGTTTCACTCCAGTACAGGCAGTTACGCAATGCCGTGAACGCAGGTCAGGATCCATCAACATGTGCGGCACGAACGATGCAGATTTGCCCGGCTGCGCAGCGGTGGTCGCTCATGTCCCTGTGCTCTAACCTTTCATGACCGCCCCTCTGTACTATTTTAATCGTCCTTAACAAAAACCCAAGAAGTGTCCCAAGGAAATCAGATCGGAGTTAGGGACCCAAGCTCCTGCCCTTCAGACCCACAGCGCGGTCCGATTCGGGGTCTCTGATTCGACGACCGAACTCCATCCGGATGAGCCAAGTATAGGCTCTCTGTCTCTATCATCTCGATCACTGTGCAATGAGTTCAGGCTTGGAGAGCAAGCGCCAAGACTCCCGTGCAGGAGCCGAACCAAAATAGCACCAACAAAGCATCAAACACATAAGCACAGGCTCCCAAACACAAGGACAAGTTCAAGAAGTAGCACCAGAGAGGAGCTTGGAGCAGCGGGAAATCTGATCGGACTTGCCACAAATCCGACACGAATCTGACGTTCCAGCCCGCGCCAGGGATCAGACAGCACAAAAGAGCACGAACCCCGAAACACAAGCTGAAGTTTTAGCACAGACACGCACTTGAGCACCAGCAAAGAAGAAAAACACACAACAAAAAAGGCACAAACTCCAAACACAAACAAGCGAGCACCAGAAGCAAAAAACATGAAGGCATCACTTCGAGCACTAGAAAACACAGGGTCGTTTGTGCTTGGTCAGAGCAGCCGGAGCCAGAGAACCACAGTTTTTCTACGTTTTCGCGGCCTGTTGTTGCCTGTGCGCTTGGGCAAGGGAAGACCGGGCGAAACCCCCACAACACTTTGTCGTTTTTTCCTGGTGCTTTTCGTTGCGCTTCTGCTTAGTCCTTAGCGCGCACTTGTAAAGGGGCGGGGGCGGTACTCAAAAACCCTGGCCACAAAAAGAGTTTTGCAGAGCGTCCACACTGAAACGGAATAGCCTGAGGAGATGGGCCACAACTTCGGCATGTCCCACGATGCGGGGACGACCGCCTGTCCAGATTCCGGCTACATCATGGAAGCTGTAGGCGGGCGTAGCTGGGTACATGCTGCAACGGCCAGAATCGGCCAGAACGCCTTCCTTCCTTTGGGGAGGTGACAGTGTTGCAGCGACGCAGTTCACGGAGTGCAGTGTGTCAGACATCACGACCTTCTTCTCTCAGGCAAGGCGCTCGCATCGTAGCATCCTGAGTTGGAGATGGGAACGAGTCGAGCCCAGGTCTACAGCAGGAACTCGGAATGCTTGGAGAACCAGCCTCTGAAGGTTTTTGGAGACCCGGTGCGACTCCTAGTTATGAGGCAGAGCAGCCGGGCAGAGGCTTGTCTTGCATTGCATATACAGCGGAGGTGTGCGGCAACGGCTTCAGGGAGGAGGGAGAGGACTGTGACTGCGGATCGCCTTGCAACGACCCGTGCTGGGCTCGGGATTTTCTTCGTTTTTTCGCAGCAGAAGTCTGCAGAGCTCCGCAATGCTTCGGCCGCATGGCCCATTCAGCGAGGTGCTGCGATGGCACGACTTGCAAGTTTGCAGACCCCAGCTACGAGTGCAGCGATGCCGTGGCTGCTTGTTGCGAGTGACTTCCCTGCGCTTCCCGCTGCCACGTCGCATCCCACCCCGCCCCACTGCGCGCCACAGCGCGCCACCACTTCAGCCGAGGAACTGCTTGAACGTGACGGCAGCGGCCCAGAAGGTGTGCAGGCGGGCGCAAGGCTGGCGCATGGTGGATCTTTGGACATAGTCCTTGTCTTTGCTTTGCAGGCCTGCGCGCAACACATGCGACCTCCCGGAAGTTTGTCCCGGTGGCACCTCCAGCTGTCCAAAGGACTCATGCTGTGACGACTGGTGCATTCGGACATATGCGAACATGCCATCCATGCTGAAACTCATGCTGGCCTCCTCCATCCCGACGAGGATGAGTACACCTATCCGGGAGCTAGCTGCACTCTTTCCTCGAATGGGGCTTCCTATCCTGGCTTGTGTGCGCTCGGAAGCTGCAAAAGCATGCGCTACACTTGCGAAGTGGACGTCACGCGCGATTTCGAGGGAAGCTGGGACCTTTCCGAGCCTTGTGCGGCCTTCAACGACGACTGCACCACCGTGGTGTCGGAAGCTTAGATACAGGATGTCTTGAGGCGTTAGGGATGTTGGTACCCTTGCTCCCTTCTCTCTATGTCACCCTGTGGTGAACGCGCAGAGGTGCCATGACGCATCTGACAGCTCTGCGGCTGCGTGCGGGCAGCGCTTCAGCATCCCGGCTGCAATTCGAAGGGAGACATGGCGGTTCCATCTCCTTCAGCTTCTCTCAAGCCATGACTCGGATCAGAAGACCGAAATGCCTGGCCTTCGAGCCTGGCGCCCCCCGCCTCAGGGTGACGGGCTGCGTGGCCCTGCGTGGCACGCTCCGGCCGGAGAGCTATTCGGGAGATCTGTTTGCAGGCCCAGATGGCATGTAGGGATAGAGGCCAAGATTGCCAAAAGGCAGACTTTGCGCGATTGCGTGCGGCAGACTTGGGTAGGTCCGTCTGAGCTACTCTTGCAGTGGAACGGTGCTTCATCACAGAGCACGCAGGGTCACGTTTCTAATCCCAATGGTAGTATCAGTGGAAGAGATCGAGAGCACAGACCCGAGGCATGGCACCCTGTTAGACTTGAGCTGAGGTGTTCATGGGTCCCAGATGGCCGTCCCTGACGGAACGCCATGTCGCAAGACTGCACGGCTCTGCAGAAGTCCTATGATACTAGTAGCTTCTCTGCAAAGGCAACGAGAAACTGAGGTTGGCATCCCAGCGAGCCGAAGGGCTCTCGCGGCGGCATGTGCTTTCAGGGCCACTGCTCACGATCGGAGAGCTTGGCACTGGTGCCTCTCTGTGGAAACGGCTGCTGGGACATAAACTGCGCAGCTACAGCTACATGCCACGAGTGTACTCGCACCGCGCGCCCGATCCCAATCCTCCAGGTAGAAATGTCTCATCGGTTTAGCCTGGAAAGTGCATGCAGCAGGCGGTATCGACTACGGCGAGGAGTGTGACTGCGGCACAACCGGCGATGATTGCTGCGACTGCGCCACCTGCCAGCTGAAAGCTGGAAGCGCTTGTGCTGGGACCGACCCGCTCCTCTTGCTGAATGAAGACAGTGACGCTCGCAGACGAAGCCTGCAGGTAATATAGGGCTTATAAGGCAGAAGAGACTCACTGCCGCGGCTTTCCACTTTCTCGAAATCTCCCGCCCCGAGTTGTTGTTTCGTCAAGTCCGAACCTCTGCCACGACTCTGGATTTGAACATGAACTATAAGTAGCGACCCCCCGCCCAGATGGAGCATGTTTTCCCCAACCGCTAATGAATTCACTGGTAGGTAGTATAAGGAATGCGCCGGGAAGGCTGTCACCTGCTAGACTGCTCAGCAAATAGCCATTGGGCAAATCAGCCCCCGATAGCCGTTTGTCTGTCATGTCTCGGTGTGCCCTCGTCAGCGCGCGTTTTTTTTTTGTGTGTGTGTGGGTGGGTGGGTGGGTGGGGGCAGTGTGTCTCTTCGTTTCTCTGCACACCACGGCATGAATGCAGACATGACAGGGCTCCACACTTGATGACTTGAGCTACATTGGCTTGTTAAGCATGGACTGATGAATTCGGGCTTGCCACGATCGACAGGTTTGCGAAAGGGAGATAAATCGGACAGCCAGCTATCAAGCGAGCTCCAGCGAACGGCAAAGACAGAAGGATCAACAAATAGTCCCCCACTGTAAGTAGTGGTGATGATGCTGATGAGGCTAAGTATTCAAGCAGGCGTTGGAATTAAATCTCGAAAAGTCGAAGCGTTTTTGACTTTTCGCACCTTTCGATGCTTTTCTGGCGTTTCGACTTGTCCGTTTGTCTGCGCTTTCGGTACTTTCCGATCATTTCCGTGGTTCGAATTTGTAATCTGTGCTGCATTGTCGCACTTTCATGAGCTTTTTCGGGTATTTCGGCTTTTCGCATTTTTGCTGAGCTTTTTGAACGTTCGGTACTTTTCGGCTGTGTCGATGTTTTCAGGTTGTCACACAAAAGCTTCACGCCAGGCCCCAGGCAGACCCAAGGCTGGGCTTGGGGTAGGCCCAGTAAGGCCTGCCCTACAGTTGATGATATAGATCCTGCATTACCCATAATGAGGAACATGCCATAATTCCCATAGTTAAGGGTCCTCATAAGGTAATGCAGGTTTATATCATCAACAGTAGTACCCTGGCCTGTTGTTCCGAGGCGTAAGCGCAGAGGCAATCCCAGAGATGAGGCAGTGAGCTGGATAGGGGTAAGCAAGGGCGGGTCGTGGAAAAATATGTGAAAATGTGGGCAGGCCGAGGGCTGGGCCCTGCGGAAGCAGTAAAACGAGTAGCAGCAGCAGTCTGCAGTACTCGTAGCAGTACTGCCACTCGCTATGGCAGTAACTTTCAGCAGAATCGAGCTTAATGGACAACTTTGCTGAATGTCAAACTATTTCGGGTGCCGCCCAAGCCACCTGAGTTTTCGGATTAGGCGAACTCTTCAATAGGCGTCGCGGCTCGAGGCTATTGGCCTGGGTTTCTTGTTTTACAAGTACCCTGGCACTCAGGGCTTGATTCTTTCTGCAGTTTTCGTTTTGGCGCCTTGCTGTCTGCTCGCCGGCTTGTTGTTGAGCAACTTTGGTGTGCTCCCTTGCTGGTCCGGCTCCTTACACGTTAGGGCCTGTAAGCCTGCCCGCTTTTCCAGGTGCGCGCTCGGCACCCCTTGTGGCTGTTTGAGTGCTTTTCGCACCGTCTCTCTTTTGCACAGGACCTTCGGACCTTTACGCAGTGCAGTGCAGTGCAGAACTCTTCAATTGTGCTCTTTCAGTGTTATTTGACAACTTGGGCAAACAGCAAAAGTAGTTAGCCAACACACACGGGGTTTTTTGGTTTGTTGTTCTGGTCGTATGAGCCGCCCAGCTGCGTGTTTGGCATCTCGTTTTTCTCAAGGCAGGCTTTTCGCGCAAAGTCTTTCTCCAATGCCACTTTTCGTGGCTTTTCGTTTGGCATTCTCCGCTTATCCGCCGCCAACAGCGATTCGCAAGCACAGCTTTATGAGGAGGACGAGAGGAATAGGAGGTGACAACGTCGACGATGATGGTGATGACGATGGCGGTGGGGATGGTGGCGCAGGTGGTGGCTGGATTGCCGTTGTGGTGGTCGTGGTCGCATCGTGGTTGGGATGCTGCTCAAAGCGACTAGAGGATGTTTGTGACGACGAAGATGTCGTCGATGTTGCTGTTGCTGCTACTCATGCAGAGCATGGAAGAGCAGAAGACGGCTCATGCTCTCTTCCCGCGAGATGTGGAGGTGCTGTGATGCCTGTGCTTTCCGCCCCGCTGGCGCGGAATGCCGCGCGGCCTTGGGCGACTGCGATCTTCCCGAGGCCAGGCCAGGGGGGTAGGCCAGCTGGGCGGCTTCCCCTCCGGCGCCCAGTTGCCTTCCCTGCAGGTTTGCTCGGGGTCTTCCGCACGCTGCCCTCCCGACCTCGGGAAGCCGGCGGGGTCCAACTGCACAAGCAACGGCGTGCCGCCGCCTCAGCGCTCTGCGCCTTAGATGCTGTAGGAGACAATGATAACCGGCACAGGCTGCAGCAACAAGGTGGCCATCTCGGCCATAGAGCCCTAAACCCTATATAAACCCCAAACCGAGAGAAGCAACTTCCTAGCGGTCCTAGCGGCTCAGGACTTCCAGCTGCTACGCGAATGTGTGTCTTCCGAGCCTCGACGAGCAGTGCAGCGAAAAGACGGGAGGTCAGTTGCCTGCGGCCGAAAGGTGCGGGGCTTCCGAACTGCCTCACAGCTGCCTTTTAATTTACGTTACTACAATCATGAAACTATCATATTATACATATTTTTGCTATAGATCCCTATGATGGTAGCCTTGTGCCCTGTCTTCTTCTCATCTCATGAAAGGACTCAAAAAGCTGTCCCGGCACAGGCATCTGTCGACGGGCTCTCGCGCAGATGCCTCCGGACATCTTTGCACAGCTTCTCGGATGACAAAGTGTGAACACCGGACTATGCTGTGAGTTGTGGCGACCTGTCAGCTCCGAGGGAGGGATAAGGCAACTGCTCTGCAACTCTCAACATGAGGCCTTGATGTGTTGCGCTTCTTGCAGTCAAGAAGCCGGCAATTGGAACATCAACGGCGAGCTGGTGACAGATCCATGGCTCTGCAGCCACCCAGTGACAAACCAGGATCCCACCGAACCGAAGACCCACACTCCAACATCGCTCCGAGGCGGCTGCGTCAGGAGCACCGCCCGGTCGACCTTCACCGTCAACGGAGCTAGCATCTTCCACGCATTGTTGCGCACGAAGCATTGAGGCAGTCCCTACTGAAAAAAACCAAGGCAAGACCATTTTTCTGGGTGCGGCTACGGATGGCACATACTTAAACAGCTCGCTCTGCATCGGCGCTGAGTCTACGACGCCCTTGCTGGCCGCGTCGTGCAGCAGCTCGGCGGAGCCCAAAGGAGTCTGCACGAGTCGAAGCTTTTGTTTTGAGCTCAGGCAGCCTGGCCTACTACGAAGCCCGGGGGCCCTGATCCCGTGAGAGTTAAGACAGAGAGCAGAGCCGACCTGACGCCCTTGCGCGGGGAGGCCTCTGTGGGCCGATGTCTTCTTTGCTCCTCTGCCTGTGACGAATGCAACGGCCCGACCAACCTCGACTGCACCAACTGCGCGAATGGAGCCTCCAAGGAGGGTGCCAAAAAGAAGCCAGATGCCCATCCACACATTAACTGGCTGAGACTCCTGCTCCGATCCGAAGTAGGTAAGTTGCATGCGAAGTCTAGGCGTCTGGCAGTGTGCGGGGGCGTGGGTAGGATGCACGCGGTGCCTGCCCCATGCTCTTGCAGGCGGGGACGCGCAGTGCAAGGCAACTTTAGACGCTCCGTTCGGGTCGTCTTGGTATGTCAGGTAAGGACCGACGGGGCCACCGTCACCACAACCGACACGAGCGGAGCGACCGACACGACCGGAGCTGGGGGAGGTGGAGGCGCCTCCACCACGGCGCGAACCGGAACCATCGCAGCTCGGTTGCGAATTCTAACCTTCTCTGCTCATTTTGTTTGGCCGCCGTGGGGCCCCCATCAGTCCGAGGATGGTGCTTCTGATTTGGCAAATTCCGTGTCCGTGGGCATTCTGCTTCCTATCATCCTGCAGCTGCCCAGCCAGTAGTACCACGCAATGCCACGCAAAGAGTCGAGACTTCCCGAAGTGGAATTCCGCACGTGGACATTTTGACACCGGCGAAAGCCGGCGAAGCCGTGGTCTTGAAGCTTCAAATCCCTGAGGTAGTTCAGTTCTGGGCATTGAGCAGTTGAACGCTCGGGATCGCCGGAAGGTGAAGTGCGCTTGCAACACGATTGCCCCCCTGCAAATTTCGCCATGCCAGCGAGAAAGAGGAGTTCTGCGGAGTTCCAGTCCCCATCGTGAATCGTGAACACCTTGCTGCTTGCAGTGAGACGGTGCTTGCATAGCTGGCATTGCAGGTTCTGGATGTACTGCAAACAGAGATCCGGGACGTCGATTTCAGGCCAGCTTTCACAGCGCAAGGCTGAACAGCTTGCGACAGAATGCAGTCGGACGTAAGATGGCAGGGGAATGGACCCTCGTCTTGCTGGATTTGCCGAGCCCATCAACCTTCACTTCCAGGACATGCATACAGATTGGCACGGGTGCATGTTGCACCGAGCTTCGACCTTGCTGGATGTGGAAAGTCGCTCGAGGCAATGCTTTCCTGGCCTCTCACCTCCAGCCCAAGGTGGGCTCCCTAAACCTCTTGGGAGGTTCTTTGCCCTTTCTCCACGTCCAGGTTGGACATCCGGAACTTGAAGGTTCACCTGAGCTTGCCGGGATAGGATAACATTGACGCTGAGGACCCAGGACCCAAAAAAGCAGCCACGGCCATGGAATTGAATCATGGAATGGCCTTCCTTCAGCAACAGCCGGACTTCTCCTGTAGTGTATTTCTTGCATCGCCGTTTCGGCTCTGGGTGTTGGGCTCGGCATGCTCCGCTTGCCTGCTGGAACACAGCAGGGGGCACAGAAGAGAGAGATCTGCAGCTCTATGAAAAGTTCTGGGCCGCTTTTGCCGCAGGCTCAAGACCGGATTTGGGCAGAGCTGTGCGGCTGTCATGGAGGAAGAGGATGGTCCTCGGCTCAGCGATTTTCCAGGAAGATTCTCAGTGGCGTGAGCAAATGAGCCCATCTTCGGGCTTCTTCTCAAGCGTCACTTCCCTTTTGCTTCACGCAGGCTGTGACCACCTCTACAAGGCAAGTTTCGAAGACCATTGTTTTGAGGAAGACTAGTGAGACGGCAGGTCGTCCTTGTGGGAGATGCCACTGTGGGAAAGACTCATTTGCTTTCACGGTACGTGAAAGGCTCGACCCACCGGCTCTGGCTCCTTCTGACAATCTGCCTTTTTCGGGTTCTCAGGTACGCTGCCGAAGGCTCCGACGGCCACGATTGGTGTCGAGTTTGCCACACGCTCCTTGAATGCAGAGCGCAGATGAGCGCAGCATCCTTTCAGTGTTGCAGAGTGTCATCCAGCGCTTCAGGCACCATTCCACTGGCCGTGGGTGGAACCGTGAAGGCTTCAAAGCACAGAGTTATCTGTAGACCCGATGTTGGACGCGTCTTCAGGCGCAGATTTGGGACACCGCAGGGCAAGAGAGATACCGAGCCATCACCAGCTGAGAGCCCAACTGACATGCTGGGTCTCAGAGGTTGCGTGAAGACTTTCAGCTGGATGCTGCACTTGAGGCTCACACTACCGTCGTGCTGTGGGAGCACTCTTGGTCTATGCACCTTGCATGAATGCAGAGCTCATGCACGAGACTTTCGGCATAGGCCTAGGCCCCCGTTTCAGCAATCTCCGCCTCCCCACAACTGCCAGGATGTCACCAGGAATGCGACCTTCCAGAACTGTCTGCACCCTAAGCCTTACTAAGCCAACATTTGAGCTGTACCAACGCAAGGGGCCAACTCCAACGAAGTCAGGTCTTAAATGGCTGGAAGAGCTGCGGCAAAATGCAGAGGACAATATCATCATCATGTTAGTGGAGGCCTTAGTGCTCAGTGCTCCCCACAGGCCATAGCAATTCGGCTTCTCCTGAGACCGGGCTTCAGGGCGATCTCGCCAGGTTGGGAACAAGCTCGACTTGGTTGAGAAGGATCCCACTGCGCGACAGGCGCGCAAGGAGACGTAGACGAAGGTTTCACTCCACATACGTCAAGCCGATTTGATATATGCCTCACATTACACGTGCGTGAATGTGTGTGACGGTGTGCGTGTGGGTGTGGGTGTGGGTGTGGGTGTGTGTGTGTGTGCGTGTGCGTGTGCGTGTGCGTGTGCGTGTGCGTGTGCGTGCGTGCGTGCGTGCGTGCGCGTGTGCGTGTCTGTACTGTCTTCGTCCGTGGACCGAGGGGGTCACTCCAAACAATCACATGTCGTCATAGCATACACCAATTCTTTCGTAAGCTGCAGGGGGCTGGCAGCCTGTTTCGTGATGCCAACCAACCAAGCTAGCAGCTAGTGGATAGATTCATGGATGCATGGACCTGTGCCTGCAGCAACAGGTGGACAGGGCTCAATCCACCAAGAAAGTCGGAGTCTTCTCCCAAAGCTACTTTCGTTTTGCTCAGCTTTGCTGCAGCTATTTGTCTTGGCCCGTTTACAGGATGCGGGAGCGTGAGAGTTAGCCGCACATTACATCTCTGAGGCCTTTGGTCACCGTTCGATGAATTATGCAAGTGTCTTCATATGGGCACCAAGACGAATATGTCTGTCCAAGCAAACAAGGGAACACAGAACAAAGTAACAACTGGATGTAGCTAATGAGCAGCTAATGTGTACATGAGGTCCATGAGGTGTTGTTGTGTGTATATCTGTCTGTACAGACAGGTGTGTCAGCGAGGTACGGTGTTTGTGCACAGAAGCACAGATGTAAAAGCATATGCCCGTAAACCAGCAGCAATTCAGCACGAAACAAAGGATGAGACTGAGACAGTCATGCCACGACACACAAGTCCAAACATCGACCCAGCACACACATGCGAACACACACACGCACGCACACACACACACACACACGGCTTGAACCTACCCCACAACAGGTGGGGGGGGGGGCACACTAGGCGCTGGGGCGAGGGAGGTGCTCGTGCTCAACCCGTGCGAATGGAAGGGCAAGCGCTACGTCCGTATTCCGCCTGAGGAGCGGGTACTGCCCCTGCCCTCAGTTGCTTCCAACCCCAACAACGAGAGAAAGAACGCCCGAAAAACACACACACAGAGCTTTATTGTTGCAGGTGCACTATGATGCTGCGCTGGAGTTTGCTCGGGCGCATAAGCCGAGCTGCCGTGCTTGCTCACGACATGTCGGAACTCTATTGGGCCATTTCGAGCGCGCGGCCTGCGGGTCCTGACCAGTGTCAGGCTCCTCTTCAAAGAGGCAAGTGCTGTCACGTGGCAAGCCCAGTCCAAGAGTTACGCCAAGCGAGGAGCATGAGCATGTAAGCCCGTGCGATCCTGTCAGGACTTATAACGTGAAACATGTTTTCGAGCAGCTCCTTCAAGAGGTGTACAACCAGGTCGCTTCGTCGCAATTCCGCTTCGTATCTGTAGCTGCATGGTCTTGCCGCGGCAGGCGTCAAAGAACGCCAAAGAAAGACGCCGGGAGCCAGGCGGCATCCAGATCCAGCCGGGGCCCAGGAAGTGAACAGAAAAAAAGCATGGCAGCAAGAGAATTTGCCCTGGCGTTGCCGTAGCGTTCGGTGGTGCAGTATGAAGGCACACATGGGTGTCAAGTGTTAGTGACTGTGCGCGACAGGCCGGGCGGCACAATCCCGGTTCAGGAGGAGAACCCCTGCGGAAATCAGGCCTTCGTTTTTGCTCCTCCGCAAGAAGAGTCTTCGACACTCTTCGCTGCAACGCTGTTGGAAGGCTTGCTGAAGCGAGTGAAGCCCGTTGCAAGCCGATCCTTGACGCTTTCGGAGATCCGACACAGGATACCCGTGTGACCCGAAAGCTGTCGAGGGTCGGCAGCTACAGTAGGAGTGTCGACGCACAGACTCTGTTTTTTTTTGCCTACTTCTGCGAGCTATCCATCTCCTATCAGTCTATACTGTATAGAGTCCGTGCATCGACCCATCGCGGTGTCTTCTGGGGATCGGGAAATGACCGCACCTCGGATCTTTGTTGGGTCTTCTGAGTCTTCTTGTTGGGTAGGCTTCGCCCCGTGAAAGGCAAGTGGGCACCGATTCCTCTTAAGCTTATGGTCTCGGGGGGCTGTGGTGGTCAGGTGTGCGCGTCTGGTAATGGGCTTGAAGCATTCAAGCTCGAAGTTTCACAAGGAGGCGTATCCTGCGCAGCCCAGCCGCTGTGAAAAAATTGTCACGTTGGGATTTTTATCCCTTCCTAGCCAATCATGGCCGCTATACTCTTGTCACGCTTGGAGGTGGGGGGGTGGGCCGGGGGGGGTGGCTTGTGTAAGACAGCTGGGCACCAAAGGTCAGCTAAGGCGCCATGAAGGAGTTCCATACCCACATCTGGAGGGAGGGGGTGGAATGACAAGCCATGGCCTGGCAAATGGATCCAGAGGGAAGCAGGGATCCTTGTAGAGCCGAAGCTTGAACGCTCTGTTGTCCGTTGCATGAAGATCGTCAGCCAACTGCGGTCCAAGCTGAAGCTGTCGAGCATGAAAAGCGGTTGCAATCTGATTTAATGTGGATGTTGCAGAGGTCTGCAGTCTAGAGTAGTCTAGAGCTGAGACGGCTGCAAGTCCACATCTGCGCTCTTCTTCGGAATGGCGCCTCTCGCTCCCGGGAGTGTGCTGGTGGCCACGGCCTCTGCCCCGTGCCAGCAGCCGGCACAGCAGCTGGCACGCTCGCCTTTGCCACACCCGCGATCGCAGTCCCTTCTGACTCCCATCCTCGCATCGACCGCAGGCTTCCCACATTTCACACCCTTGCTTGCTGCGGATGTCCTGCTTGGCGAGATAGGTCTCTTCTGCTCGTTGGCCTCGATGCCACGGCAGCGGCTGAGGAGGACAGATATAAAAGCCAGTGTGTGATGAAGCATTGTGCAGATTCCAGGAGAGCCTCCAAAGAGATCGCAGCAGGCATGGCTCTTTCGGATGCAGGCTTCCACACGGTGCTCCACCCCTCCTGTGACGGCTGTAGGTCAGTCATCTGACGGGGAACTGGCTGGAGGATCGTATGCCTCGTCCTCTGGCATGCTCCCAGCCCAGGGCCAGCCCTCCTCTTCTGCTCTGATCACGAGGAACTAATGAAGACCAGTGGTGTGGAGTGGACGATGATGTTCAAGGCAGAGGGTTTTTTCTTCCGAATTTTCAGTGCAGAGAGAAAAAGCAAGAGGAGAGAGCTGCCGGAGCCCTAACCCTAAACCCTAAAGGCCCTAAAACCCTCAATGAAACCCTAGCTAAGTAGGCCGCCGATGACTTTGCGCGCAAGAACGGGCTGCGGAAGCTGGGGGACTCCGAGACCGCCGCCTCCAAAATGGCCGGGGGACCTTACTATAATATACCATTATAATATACCATTATCATTATATATATTATATGTTATACTATACTAAATACTATACTAAATACCAACAACATACTGGAATAACATACTGCGTACTCTCCGAAATGCACCTCTAAAGTGACTTTCGGAAAGCATGGCAAAGCTGCCCAGGCGGCTTTCTACCCTTCAGACGAGGCGAGCTCGGGGTCCGAATGGGCTCCGTGACTTCGAGTCCTCGACACGAAGAGCGGGCGCTCTGAGGCATTCCCTGGTGTCCGTGACTGGTTGGATGCCCGTGGCCTGCGCCCCCACTTTCCAGCCGTGCTCTGGCGAAAGCAGGCTGTTCTCTGCTGTTCTCCGGAATTGTTCGAAGTCGCAGGTCAACCAGTGGTGCAAAGAGATGGGTGCCGCCATTCAGCTGCAGTCTAGAAGATAATTTGAGGATCAGATTGGCTTTTCGCCGCCACGACTTCAGGAAGACATCATCGATCTGATCGAGAACACGGAGGCGCCTGAAAAATCAACAAGGTCATATATGTCTTTTTGGATCTTCGCCAGGAGATTGCCGAATTTCTGGGAGATGCCCTCAACGAGAATGAGAGAGCCGACCTTTGCGGCAGAAGATTTTCCGAAGGCCGAACCTCCTGAGCTGCGCCGTTAAAAGAGGACGAGTTTTGAACGCTCAGTTCTGTGTGTGTGTGTGTGTTGGCGGAACAGCTCTGGGCCTCAACTCTCCACATCTTGAGCCTCGGAGTTTAGAGAAGGGCCCTTTTTTAAATTGTAAGAGCCCGCCGCGATTCCGTTTTTGATGTTCGAAGCCTTCGTTTCGCGAGGGTTGCAGAAGATATGAAAACAAAGCCTGTCGTTCAAGTGCCGCAGGCTTCACATGCTGAGGACAGCTGGAAAGCTGATTCTTTCGCAAGGTCATCCGAAGCTTGCAAACCATTTCAAACATCCAAAAGCAGCCATGGAGCGGCGGCGCCCGGGTGTGCTGATCGCTGCCGCTGGAGCTTTTCTAGTGGCCTTGCTGAGGATCCTGGTGATGTTACAAGAGACCTACAAGCAGTCTTTCATGGCTTGCATGGTGTCCAGGAGCTCCTCTGCCTTCCTGGCACCGGCTGCGGGCTGCTTACCGACGCGAAAGTGGAGAGTGAGAGAGACAGCGCCACGTTCGTGAATCTGAATTGCGTCAGTACCTCAGCCGGTACCCCAACGTCGCTCCTCGATCCGAGGGCATGCGAATAAAACGGAGTCTTTCCCGTGCCGGCGAAAAGACAGAAAGAGGAAAGATACCAGTAGCAAAAAGCAGAACGGCCAGACCAACTCGGGCACATCGAGAGCTTTGTGTGCAAACGAACAAACGCAGCCTGTGCAAGAGCATGGCGACGGACCAGTCGGCGGATACCTATGCTACGAGAAAGGGATTCCCCCGTGCAGAGTCGGGGCATCTCTGCCTGCACTACTCCAACGTAACGCTGGCATCGGTTGGCCGCCTTGATCGCCGCAGCTGCTGGGACCCGCCCAATTGGAAGGGAAACGGTCTGACAATGCGTGTCTGTGCATGTGTATACAGTCACATATGTATATATATGTACATATCTCTATATATATATTTATTTATTTTTTTTGTTTATATATATAAGATATCTGTATTTATAAGCTCACGCCCGCTTCCCCAGAATCCATATCAGCTCCTTTTTCAAAGTGGCTAAAGGATGTGGGGGCACTTGCCGACTGACAGTTTGCGAAACATCGGCAAGCATCAAGTTTCCCCAAAAGTTCTTGAAGCCTGAAATGCGAAAGCATCGGCAGGCATCAACTGTCCGCAAAATTCCCAAAACTCAGCAACCATGCGGCCAGCAACTTTTTTGCGGCGCCGCACTCCTCACAGATGGCAGGATGTAAAAATATGGGGAAGTGTGATTCCGGCTCAACAGTACCCAAAATTCAAGGAGCCTGAGGTTCGTATCAAGTTTCAGCAACCATACATCTACAGGGCCGGCAGGTTGCAGTTTCGGGTGGGGGGGAATTGCAGGAAGTTTGCGGAAATTTGATCCCTGCCAAGTGGCATCAAATTTCCCCAAAGTTTCTGACATTCACCAACACTGAAAACTGATGGCCCTGTAGATGCAAGGATTTGGGTAGTGTGGGTGAGACTTGATTCGAACCTAAGGCTTTTTAGTTTGAGTGTTGTTTAGCCTGACGGCATCTTCGCCACCAAGATGAACAACACTAGCATGGTCGCTGTGGTAGTCATGAAATCAGTAGTAGTTTTCAGAATATTAGTAGGTTCCCAGTGGAAACCATGCTAGTCGACATAGTTGTTATTCTTGTTGTATAGTCTATAGTCTACTGAGTCTTCGTAAGACATGAATGTGTATGTGCTCACGTTTATCAGAATCAAGTTCGTGTGCATGTGAGAATGTTGGGGCATGTTTCGCATACTCTGTACTATTGAAGCGTGTTTGCGTTGGGATGCGTCAGAACGTTTTATGTAGACAGCTTAAAGCACTTGTTCAACCTTCCATATCATGTTTAGATATTTGCTATAAGCTATAAATGCTGAACCCCTCCAGCTGCGTGGGCGGACATAAAGGGACTTCTCAAATTTCATGTTCATAAACTAAAGGTATTATACCTCTGATTATGAAGTGAATGACCTTGTTTATTTCTTTTCCAGTTGGGCTCGGCGCGAGGACCTAAAGAGAGGGCATGTCCATATTGTGAGGCAGCAGAAAAGCTGAAATGCTCCCTGATGACATATCGCTAGGACAGCTGTGCTTGTTTCCCTTGCATTGCATACATGATTATTCAGTTGCTTCAGCTACTAGGTAGCAATGCTTCCTTCGCTGGGCAACATCATGATTCCAGTTAAGATCAACTGTGCTCAAGATATGAATCGATTGTTGTTACTGCGTTCACTGCATAATGAGAAACGGAAGTGCTTCCACCTTTGCTATGGACATGTGAAGAGAGAAAAGCGGGCTACATCATGTTGTGTTGAAGGATGGTGCGAGCTTTATTGCTTGTTGCTAATTCGTAGTACTCGCACGGTGCAGCGGCACCCCATTGGAGTTATCTTGCATGGTATTGAGAGACGACTGTGCTGAAGATCTGAAGTTGTGTTCATTTCCCTTGAAGCACAAAGAGACATGGAGGTTGCTTCCACATGTCTTGTGAGAAGCAAACTTCGTACAAGGACCGGAAAGAGGAAACTGCTTAGAAAGTCCTATGCTTCTCTGTGATGACTGAAGCTCTCCTTTCGCTTCTAGGCTGAAAAGCAACAACACCGCAAGTCGCAAGACGGCTCAGCGACTTGAGACAGAAGAATGCCAGGAGTGCCTCCGACCGCCAGGCCAAGCGCGACAAGAGCACAGCGGCCATGATTGGCCAGGAAGGAAGACATGCATGTGAATCCCAACGTGACGAATCTCACGAACGCTTCGGTACTCAGACAGTAACGTACTAAAGCTAAGACATTTTCTGGTATACAGTCCTGGGCAGCAACGGGAAGTGTAGGGGAATATCCTGCTGCGGCAGTTTGGGCAACTCGGGCTCTAGCTACTTGCAAACGACACTTCATCAGGGAGCTGTTTCGCTGCAAAGGACATCTGGCGCTTTTTGCGGGAAAATGCGGTGCTTTATCAATTCCTGCAAAATGCAGAGCCGTTTTGCGGGAAAACGCGGGAATTGTAAAGCTCAGTTTGCATCATCGGCACCATTTGCAGGACAATGCGGGATTTGTAAATGCCTCGCAAAGTCAAGTTTGTGCTGAAACGTAATCTCTGTGTCTCCCATGGCTAAAATCAAGCTTCCAGATGTCTTCTTTAGTTGAGAGGGGTGGTTCTCCCCTACCGAGAAACAACCGGTGGGCATGCGAGCGGCAGACAGAATCCGTTTTGGGGTGGGTGGTGGTGGTGCAAACAAGTAAGCATTTAGCCCAACGGTATTTAATTGCAGGTGAAGTGAGAAACCACAGTAAGTGTCAACGATCCCTACCTGGGAGACAACAGACAGTGACAGAAGGCTGGATGGACATATATATATATATATTTATTTATTTAAATGTGTGTGTGTATATATATATATGTATATAGAGAGATGATATGTATACAAATATGCATGAGTCTATGTATCTATGTATGTATGTATGTATGTATGTATGTGTATATATATAATATTTGATATGTATATTTATATTTATATTTATAGTTGTGGGTATGTGTGTGTGTATATGTATATGTTTGTATGCATAGATATGTACATGTACAGGTAAAGATATACAGACACATACACATTCGCATCCAATGTGCATGCGCATGCACACTCACGCACACGCACACACACATACACACACCCACATATACACACATGCACATACACATGTACATTCATATTCGCATTGCATATTCGTATTCATATTAAGATGCAGAATGTGTGTATGCACATATGCATATATATATATATATGCATATGTATATGTATGTATGTATATATATATATATACATGTATGTATATGTTTATGTGTACGTATATTTTTGTGTATGTATATATACACATGCACATAAACACATACATATACATATATACATATACATATACACGTACATACATACATACATACATACATACATACGTACATCCATGCATACATACATACAGATACCAGATAGACAGACATACAGACGTCTAGACATATACGCACACGTATTCTCAACCTTCCCCGCCCAGGCAGGCTCCAAACCGGATGCCGCAGAGGGCGCGTTGCGTCGCAGAGTTTCCTGGATGAGAGCGGATTGAGAGACGTGTCAGAATTCCATCCTGCTTTTCTCGCTTGGCTGTCTCTCAGGACATGCTGGCAACGCTGGGGGTGGCCGCGGCCTGGCAGGACCAAGGGCAGAGAGATGGCGATGAGATGGCTCAACAACGACGTAGGTGACTGAGAAATGCGCAGGCAGATGAAGCTTTCGCTCTGCGGGATGACATGGGCTCAGCACTGGGCAAGTTGGTCTGCGCGGCATGTCCAGACACCTTCGGTGGGCTCAGGCCAGATTCGACTCCATCTGCAGCTACAAATGCCTGCATGCCCAGACCTGGTAGATCGTAGCGCGCTGTGAGTGGAGGGCGGTCAGAACTTTCTATGGATTCCCTCTGCGTTCGCCGGCAAGCCCTGTGGTGGGCATGGGCCTCGATGGTGCTCTCAGGTCTCAGCATCATTTCAGCATCTGTCGGGTTGTGATCCCAACACCTTGCAAACGGGGGCGGCGGGGGGGGTGGGGTTGGGGTGGGAGGCTTCTCGCCTCTCTCGTTCTCCTGATAGAATCGAGCCCCATCGCATGTGGAATCTAGAAAGGATGCAAGCACGTCTTGCTCTGTCTCAAACACCAGCTGCAACGCAGCTATTTCAGTAACGTAATGACTCAGGCCTTGCAATCTGTAACGAGAGAGCACCTGGCAACGAGGAATACTGCAACAAGGCCAGGGTGCATGTAGTGCCAAGAAGCTTCTGATCATGCTGATTGTGACAAGCTACCGAGTTATGCGTCAACTACTGCCAGCAGTCGAAGGAGGAGAAGGAGCCACCACCAACGCAATGGCTCAGCTTCGGCTCTGCATGGACATTTCGCTCAATGACAGGACCTCAATTCGCAAGTGAAGAAAGGTAGCATCGTCGACAAGATCCTGGAAAAGCGCAGCTGCCACGTTTCTTATTCCGGTCCCGGCAACTTAGCAGGTGTGGTAGGCACTCACCTCCTAGGGTCCTTCTTGGGCCTTCGGCAACGAGTTAATCTCGGCGTTCAGAGCGTGGGGCAGCTCGCGGGAGGTCTCGCAAGAAGAAGTTCGACAATAATCGTGCTGACAACGCCAAGACGGAGCAGCTAGACCAGTGGCTGGGCGGCGGCCCCATGGGACGACTTAAAAGTGTGGTGAGCTGCGCAGAGCGCAGAGCCGTGATTAAGGCTCGCAAATCGCTTTGACCAACGAGACGGCCTCTTGGCCTCACGATGCTTCCAAATGAGTGGGAGCCGCGCTTGGGGCTCGGGTTCGGGCTTCGGCTTCCGTCTTGCTGAGGACTATGCTAATGGCATCAAGGAGACCGGCCGCATCCGTGAATTGTTTAAGCCTGAAAGGCGACAAGCTGATTAGGCCCACGCAGACCAGAGATCGTTGACATCAGGCAACAAGCCTCTGCTCCACTGCTTGTGTCATGGGGCATAGGGCAGGCCTGTCAGCTGCTGATGCGCTTCCAGCTTCGCCGCTCGCAGTTGAGTTTCAGCTTCGGGCCTCCAATGTTAACATCACCATTCCCACAACACACACACACACTGTGATCACAGATAGAAGCCAACCAGTAGGCTCACAGCAGTGAGAGGAGAGGTGCCATTGAAATCCTTAGTCGCAACCATCGGTCATGGGGGCATGCCAATATTCAGCTTGCGCCTGAGCTCCGACTTCCAGATGTCCATTTCTCTCCGGTAGAAAAACCACCGTCCAAGGCTTTCGACTATGCGGCCCCGGCCCACCTTGTTGAGGACTCTCTGGAGTTTGGAGTGAAAAAGGGGGGGTGGCCTGCTGCACTTCACAGGACGACGTGCGAAGGAATCGTGCAGATCAGACTGTTGAGAACATAAAGGTGCAGAAAGCTAGCGATGGAAGACAGCTTAAGGGAACTCTCTTGATGGCGCCACCGCAGGCAGACAACAGCCACTCTTATCCATCATTGCTTGCGAGGCCAGGCCAGGAAGCACTTTTTCTTACCAGACTAGACACCATGCAATTGTAATTTCACAGCGTTTGTGAAGCTTCGTTGACGATCAAACCAGTAACCAATCCCACTGAATGAGGTGCCTGGTGGGTGACACCGAACTCTTGAGCCAGCGATTCACGACAATCCATCCCTTCCATGTGAGATCTTCATTCATTTACGCTCCCAAGTTCAGCATCGCTGCCATTGCCCATCGCGACAGCCAAGAATGCAGCACCCCGTCCTCATCCTGGTGTAGCTAGGCGTGAGAGACCGGACGGGCACGTGCATGCTTTTCGCATCACATCCGAAATTAGGCTGCAAGGCTTTCAGGCACGAACTCGGCTCATTATGGTTCGCAAGAATGCAGGAGCGATGTGGGGGAAGCTTCCAATGCGCCGGAGCCTGAAGACTCGAAGGTGGCCAGCCTGAACGGCAGACGGAGGATGTGAGGTTCCCCGTTGCTGGCTTGTCAGCGGCATGTGCCCTGCAGGAGAAGCCTGTTCAAAAGTGCGTTGCACCTGTTCGCCTCACAGGTTCTTCAGTTGCGTCACTCTCTGTCTCTAGTGAAGTGACTCTCCTGGCGCTGGCAGGTGAGGACGGGCGGCAAGGGAAGCCGACACCGTCCCTGCCCTTTGCCTCTCTTTCCTCACATATGCGAGTGGATTTCTGCTGCGAGGTTCCTGCCCATCCCGAAGCGCTCGCGGCCCTTGCAGCAGTCGGCTGACCGGTTGATGAAAGCATCCACCAAGGCCGGGTCGGAGGAGCCCCTTTTTTTGGGGGGGGATGCGCCGCGGTGCTCCTGGACACATGTCTCAAAGTTCTCTTTTTGGTCAGGCCGGCACAGGTACCGGCACGGGACCGGGAGCCTGCATGCGAGCCCCGCGACCTTCGATGGCTCCTAGCCGGCAGTGCACTTCGGAGTTACAGATGAGGGCGGCATACTCTTTGAGCGCTCAGGCGACATGATGCCCGTCCAACACTGAAGCGAGGGGTTGTTACAGTGTGCACGCTGCGTCCCGGGTCTTGGCACAAGTCCAGTTCCCGCCTCAGAGCGCTTTGCACTTGGCACGCGTTAATGCACGCTTTGGCGAATTCCCAAACACCTCGGCTGCTTCACGGACATCGGACATGGCCCCACTGCCAAAGCTCTTGAATCCCATGCCCTCAGCGGTGCGAACCAGCTGTAGGCCTCTTGCAAACATCCCATGATACTTGTATGTCCGCACACGTCACGGGTACGGCCACGACCTCGATACATGAGCTGATGACGTGACTAGACGAGGGATGGACAAGCCTTGACCTCCCTTGTGAGTCACGAGAGGTGCTCAATAATTGAATTTATAATATTATGTCAAGTCGAACTTTCGCTTCCCTTCAAACCACTTCGAGAGCTCGTCCGAGATGACACCAGGCTCGACACGAGAACGCAGCAGAGCAAGTAGTTGCCCACTGTTGCCCACTGTTCATATTGCATCCAGCCAGCGCATGTGTGTGCTCAACTCCATGGCTTTTCTTCAGGGCACATGCGGCTGTAGAGGCCGAAGCAGACTAGAAGAATGAAGCGCGCCTGGCTTTGGGACCTGGGGCTTAGCCCCAGTGGTCGATAACTCGTGAGCCTTGGCTGCATCATACTTTTTCCTATACCCAACCCTAAACCCCAAACCATACCCCTACGTATACCTTTAGCCTTTCATACCCTATGAGCCCTATAAACCCTATAAGCCATACATAGACCATAGACCATATACCCTTCCTCGTATAGAGATGCTGTGGGGGACATCCCGAGGAAGGGTCCCGCGCGTGCGCGCCGATGGCTTGGTGGAACCCTCTCAGCTATTTCAAGCAGCGCTCCGTGGCTCCAAAGCGTGTATCTCCGTCTGTGCTTGCACTGGGGACGCTGTTCGAAGTGTTTTTTTTTTTAACCCTTGCCTTGGAGGAAAAGCCCCGAAGCCCAAGTTCCAGCCCGAGCCGGCTCCTCAGAAGGCTGCAGCCCCGCCTCTTCGGACTGTTCTCAACCGCCGAGGTCTGAAAGGTCTTTGTTCGCAATCGCCTCAAGATGCTGATAGCCGCAGGTGTCCTTGGTAGAGGTGCAGATCCAAATGAGGCGCTTGCATCGGATGACACCTCGGACGGCACTCTGGCGCGAGGACATCGGGCGGGATCGCGGCACACAGGGCACCGGGCTCACTGCACGAAAGCCAACATCCAAAGTACAGGAAGATGTGGCTCGGCAAAGATGCAAGTGCTAATTAGTGTAGGGTGTGAAGTTTGCTCGTACAGTAGACTTGCAGACGATGCCGAGCAGAACGTTTGCTCCATAGAGGGAGAGAGACAATACAGTGTTCTCCATGCGCAGAGCGGCGAGGACCAAATCCAACTCAGGCCCCCGCGCTGTGGCATCAAGTGCTCGCTCTTCCACAAAGGGACGTGCTGCAACTGAGGGAGACAGCGACGAGGAGTCTGAGGAGAGCGAAGGTCAGTCTGCCACCCGGCTCAAAGGCTCAAATAGGCCTTGAGAATTAGGGGGCCTTGGCAAGAGGGGCATTGAGGGCATTGTCAGCTTGTAGGGTCGCGGGCCCCGAGGACTTGCAGCTGGAAGCCTTGCCGGAGGCTTGCTCCCCTTCCTCCCAGAAGGCCGGTTTGTTGTGTCAGCCGATCACCGCAGCCGCAGTTTGCCGGTGTCTCGAGGAAGTGCGCTCGTCTCCTGAGCCGCCAGCCCCGGCAACATCCCGCGAGGAGGTCGAGGAGGTGCGTTAAGACGAGAACTCGAAGGCAGCTGAGGCCCCAAAATTCGACCTGTGAAGGCGAGGGCAGAAATCGCCTATGGCTCTGCAGCAGGCAAAGTCGAAACGGAGTCCGGAGGACTCGGCTCTGCTCCAAATGTCCTTCTGCCGCCTTCGGCCGTCTGCACCGTGCAGGAGGGAGCCCAGAGGGCGGGATGCTCTCACCGTCAGGCAGGAAGAAAAGGAGATTCCGAACTCCCCGCACTTTTCTCGGGCCCTTTTGGAGGTGACCAGAGCTCTGGCCCCTGGTGGAACAAGTTCGGCCTGTCTCCGATGCAGAAGGAGCAGAGTGAGGAGGCCAGGACCAGATTCTGCTTCGGAAGCCGAGCTTTTGGCGCACAGCTGAGGCACCAGCCTTCAATCTTGAGAGGAGTTCCGAGGCTGAGCTGTGTTAACAGTTGCCCCCAAAAAAGGGAGCCAAGGTTGTGTAATCCGCCAATGCCGTTGATATGGGATCATCATCTTGTATAGTTCAGGGCTCCTTCCAGTCTGACCATCAGATTCCTATAGAAGTTCTTTGAACGATTGTGCACCCCCCCCCCCCCCCCCCCGCCCGCTGCAGACGCAATCGGGGGGATCCGAGGCAAGGACGAAGGAGCATCTCGATGAATGTCCTCTCCACCTTGACTGCAGCATCGGCAAATTCTCATGGGCAGGAGCTGGACTTTGGGCTTCTGGTCCGTATGGCGGAGAGCCGACGGGCGAAGAGCGATCCTCCAGAACCTGAAGGAGCGGTGATCGAAGGGAGGGAGGCTGTGGAACTTTCTTGAGCTTGACTTAATGTGCTCAGGCGGAGGCCGGCAGGCTCCAGGCAGCGCTCCTCCTCCCCGGTTCCGTTCGACGGCCTGTTTGGTGATGCCTCGGCCGGATGACTACTTCTTGAAGAAGTCCAGCAAAGGGCCGGAAGCTCCCACTGCTCCCACCTCCGCCAGCCTCAATGCGACTCGCCTCAACAAGGGTTTAGGAACGTTGGGGCGCGTCGCTTGGGAAAGTGTCCGAACGACAGGACTTAATTTACCTGGACCCTGGCCACTTCAGAGAGATTGCCGAGCGAGGAGGCCCCTTCCAGTGCCAAAAGCGCGTGAAAGCCCCACAAAAAATAAAGCTCGTCTGCGTGATGTCTCTTCATGCAGGAGCCGTGCAAAGGCTGACCAGGCAGGAGAGTCCGGGCTCTTTCTGTCTACACAGCCGCCCTTATTGCGCTAGATGGCGCCAGGACATAGCGTGATTGACGCCGAAGGTGGTGGCCTTCCTGCTGTCAGCGATGTGTCACTGCAACTTTTGAACTGCCTCAGTGCACATGGGATGCGACTGCAAAAGCAGCCACTTCTCAAGCCCGCTTGCATGGTTGAATTGGCATGCCTGCCGGTGCAGGGTGCCGTCGCGAAGGGGTCTTCTTTTCAGGCCAGCACAGGCGACAAGAGGCCGTGACGCAGAGCTGAGAAGTCTGACGAACCAGTTTGGGTTTGCGACTTTGCGTAGTTTTTACCAAAAGTCTTGCAGCAGAGCTGCTAGCATCGTGGAGGATCGAAAAGCGCATGGGGAATGCACTGAATGAACGGGGAATGTGGGGTCAGCACCCTCGAATGTCGATGCATTGTGTTGATTGGCTCGACAGACAGAACAGCCAAGTCGCTGTAGGCGAAGATGCCTGGAAGCCCCAACGGATCTTGTCCCCATGCATTCCTCAAACGTTTCTGCAACGACAACTTCGCAAACATAGCCGAACGTTGATGCCTTTCAACATGGCTGCCTGGTTGCAACCATTGGCAAGAGTGCATGGCTACATCTGCTGCGTCGACGTGGCTTCCACGTGTTACGTGCCTGTTTTTGTAGCCACATCCAGCCAGGCTTCATCTTCACGTCCAGCACTCCTGGCCTGTTGTGTTTATATTGTCGCAGAAGCTTTAAGAGCGTACCTGCTGTGTCCCGGCAGGAGATGCATTCCGAGCGGCACCTCGATCATGATGCCTCACAGGCCTGGTCTAGGAGTCTAGGTTAGGACTCTTCGCAGTTTTGTTCAAGCAAGCTGGCCAGTGGTGTAGTTTCTGCACTGATGCGTCGAGGCAGGAACGCCTCTGCTTACAGCTGAAGAGGCATGGGATGGGGGCACAGCAAGTTCAGGCATGTTTGGGCAGGGCGAGCACAGAGAGCTGCGCATTTGGTTGACAGGAGATGCAGTACCAGCGTGCCCTTTGGGTGAATCGCTTCCTGAAGGTTGTTCCCGCACCTGAGCTGTCTTGCATGAAGTGCGCGACTTGTAGAGGAGCAGCTAGCCGCACAAACACAGGGACTCTCTTTGAAGGACACAGCACTGACTTTTCCTCAGATGCTGTTGCAACGCTCCTCGGGCCCCGTCAGGAGATTGAGGAAGCGCAGACTCAAATCCAAACCAGGCAGCATTGCATGTCTCCTGTCGAAAAACTGCCCCCTTTGTCAATTTGTCTGCAGGATGCGGCAGGCCACAAGGCTACAGGCAACACCCAGGGAGATTGTCCAGGCCTGTGGGTGTTGGCAAATTCATCCCGAAGGCTTGGACGAGCTCTCAGGGTCCCGATCCAGGTAGTGCCAGGACTGCCAAGCATGAAAGAACGCACCAGGGACGCCGCAATAAATGACATGAGGGGACCAAAAAAGCCGCATGGGAAGGACCATCTATGCCAAATCACCGAGGAGAAGCCAGACACAGCGGCTCGGCTGGTCGGGTTCGATACTCGTTGGTGGCTCGCATGTTCCTGAGGCAGGCGCGGCCACAGGTCGTCTCGTCCTGCGAAGTGAATCGAAGGCCCGCGTGCGAGCGCAGCTTCTCATGTCTGCAAAGATCTGTCGCTTGAGGAGGGCGCAGCACCGTATCAAGGAGGAGCAAACCCCTCATAGATCCTGGGGGGCCAATGTCTAATGTGAGCTCCAACCTACTACCAACCGCCTTCATCCTTCTTTTTTTGTGCTCGTGTGTGTGTGTGTGTGTGTGGGTGGGTGGGTGGGGGGGTGCGTGCGCGTGCGTGCGCGCGATGGTTTTTGGTTTGTCCGTCGTTGGTGGGCTGTGGACCTTTACATTTCCGAGCAGTTGCGAGTTTTAGTCTCAACCTGGGCAGGAGAATTTGGGTATCTTGCAGCGCATCGAGAATGTGCCGAGCCGATGTTGCTTTTGCGGATTGCTCGTTAGCCTTAAACCCTTTCAGAGTGGGAGGTGAAAAGCAGCTTCACACCCCGAATGCCATCAAACCTGATTCGAAAGATCTCGCCACGAAACAGGCGCGATCTGGCCCAAAGTAAGCTTGGCCATTAGCGGCTCTTCTTGCCAGGCTGTTGACCCATGGCCATTAACTTCAGCAACCAACTGATGCTGCTGCCCTGTTCTGTGTTCTTTCAGCTACCTCTTTCACTCCAGCTGAGCTCCAAAACGGAATTCAGAGGGAAGCATTATGTCCGGCCACTGGCAAACCCACGACGGCAGCCAACATGCAGAGGTGACAGTCTGCCTGGGTGCTGCTCGTGCCGTGCTGCTGCGTTCAGTGCTGCGTCAGTATCGCAGCCTTCTTGGCTCCATGAAGGCCATGGTCTCATGTAAAGGGGCTTGAATAAGAGAAGGAGCGATGTCAATATAGTATCTGAGCGCTTCCGGAGAAAGCAAAAGACTCTGAACATTTCTCAACACTCGGAGCATGACCGAGCGGCTTCTGCCAATTGCTTCGACGGGGCACATCACCTGCAACGCCTGTAGCTTAGAGCCAGGTAGCAAGTAGTCTGCACCGGTGTTTCGCAAGGTCGAGCTGACCTCGTTCTGGCGAATTTCTAGCGGCTACAGAGTATTCAGACCACCTAAACCCTAAACCGATTCAAGGGGAGTCTCTCTCTCTTCTCTCGCTCCTCGTCTCGGGCTCTTTTGCGGTGTCAGGCGATCACCCAGCGAGCGCTGGAGCGGGTCATCGCGCCCGGGACCCACACGCCCCTCTTCCCTGACGTGTGTGTTGGGGGTGCGGGCGAAGTTCACGAGGCGGGATGTGGCCCTCATGGCTGAGCAGGACGGAACGGGAAGATCTGCATGAAACTCTTCCATGGCCCCCCCGTCCACAGGCAGCCCGCGATCCAGCGGAAGTGCGGAAGCAGAAGGCGACTGGAAAATGCCCAAGCATCACTGAGTACTGTGAGCACACTTCCGGAGGAGCTGGTGCCTCCGTGGATGAAAGATGGTGAGCCGGAGGCAGCACGGGAGGGAGATGCTTCGAGAGCATCCCAGACTGGATCCCGAAGCCTGCAGCGGTCCACCCCAAAGTGCAAAACTCTTTCAAACCGCGTCCGCTGTGAGGGATGTGTGTTTCAGGTGCCTACACCTCGGCCAGCGGCGCGAACGCCGCAGCCGCCGGCACCGCCGGCCAACAGCCTCTGGGCCCCGGCCTTATCCAGAGCACCTGACGGAGCGCTTGAAGGGTTTAGAAGGGTTTAGGATGCTTCAGAGGGGTTTAGGGTTTTTATAGGGCTTTGAGCCCCGAGGTGCAGCACCTCATGGAGCGGCGCGAAGCGCAGGAGGCGGCCCTGGGTCCCAAGGCGCCCTCTCACCGCTCACCCTCTTTCTCTCCGCCCTCTGGTATATACTCTCCTTTTAAAAGAAGGTGGACTACCCGAAGCCTCTCATCAAGCTGCGTGGGCGGACTCCGCTGACGCGTCTCACCCAGTACCCACGTCACGCACATGAAGAGTGGAACGCAACTATACAGACTATACACACCGAAGAAGAGGCTCGGTCGGCTTCGAGTGTTGTCAATTCCTCGACGTTCATTTCCGGGTAGCAAACCAGTTGTGCGCGGTGGTGGCCGTCCGAGGCCGGGTGCCGACCAGTCCCAAGAATGGAGCCGCGAGGTTCCCGATAGTCTCCAACAACAGCACTGTGCCACGTGTCAGATCAACTGCATGCGCTGATTGAAAAATTTGGGTCGGGACGGTATGGGCATGTGTGGGCACAAGGGGCCTTGGGTTTGGGAACATGCGAGGACCTTCGACATGTGCACATGGTGTAGATGCTGTTCTCCACAGATTGGGCACCTTGTCAGGCTAGGGATGTGGAGCAGAAGGCCCTCGTTCGCCTGCTGCATGGCCTCAAGGCCTGCGAAAGCAGACATAGCAGCGCCTAGGAGACCGGTCTCTCGGCCAGGATCGCTTGCGACATGAGACGGAGCGGACGAAGTGCGTGGAGGCAATGGCTTCGAATATATGAGAACGACCCTGAAACCAGGGCTTTTCACCTGAGGCCAGGCTGGCCAACCATTCAAGCCGGCAGCGCTCAGCGCATCGGGCTTTCTCGTGCTGAGCGCTTTCAGCTGAAGTTCTTGCCCTGACGCGGATGCAGCCTCACCTTAGGACACCCCTGCATGTTCCCGCGTCCGTGGCGTCACGGACTTGGGTGATGGGGCAGTGGCCTCACCTGCACAGAGCACACCCCGGTGTATTGAGGTCCAAGCGCTTTGATCAGCTCGGCGCAAACTCCAAAGCTATGAGCATGGCCAGGGCGAAGGAGGGTTCTGATGTCCTGCGAGCCTGCGACCTATCATCAGACGCAAGAACTGGGAGTGCAGTCCTGGCAGTCCTGCGGCTGGTATCCAAGCCAAGCGGCTGGCTTCGTTCCGGCGGACCTGGCTTCCAGGCGGCGCTTCCTTGAGTCGACTAAAACGTTACACGGCTCTGCGTGGCTCGCTCTGCCAGGCCACCGAGAGTGCCCCCAAAGAGGCAGGAAAGTCGAGACATGTCGAGACATCATGGGGACACCCGAGCCATCTCGAGCAATTCTGGAGGACGGACAGGCTGCTGGCATATCCATATGCCATTGCCGACATTGCCGGTGCGACCGCTTGAGTCGCAGCGCCGTTTCACCGCGAATTGAGCAGCTGGCTTCCGAAGGTTGCCAGCACAGCGGCAGGTGCCCCACGAAAAAGGTCGGCTGGGACAGCGATGAGAATCGGACCGAATTGCAGCGATTGGAAGCCGAAGCAGCAATTGTTCGCGTGCAATGCTCAAGTCGAGGACATTTCGTTCATGTTGAGTGAATTTGACTAACCTCCAGCCTTGATGCTCGTAGACTCGTAGCTTCAGCGTGTCCATCTTCTAGCTTCGTTTCTGCAGACGTCTTGAGCCATGTGACCTGCTGCCCATGTTCTCTCCGTAGAAGGCTCAGTGGTTCGCCGGATTCTGGCAGGGGCTACCCCTTCCCTTTTCCTCGTATCCTTCTCAGGCTTTGCCTTCAGGCTTTGCTCCCATGGCCGGGGCCTCGGGCCCGTGGCCAGAGCCTCCCAAGAGACGACTCAAGTAAGCTGCACCACCATTCAGACGGCCTCTCTCTCTCTCTCTCTCTCTGTCACCAGAGCCTCGCAGAGGCCGTGCCTTTGATGGTCCTGGCGGCGCCGCCCGCACCGTGCGAGGTGTTCCGGCTTCCTTATTGGGGTCCCATTTTCTGAGACTCGCATTTCTCCCCATTCCTTGTTGGGGCACCCCTCTGTTCCTTTTTGGGACAACTGAGGCGATGCTCGCGGCACCGCCCGCAGCGCCTGCGGCGCCAAGCCTCTCCTGGGAGGTGCCGTAGAGACATGTTACATGCAGATGTGGGACTGCAGATGTACGCATGTAGATACTGCATGCATGCATGCATGCATGCATGCATGCATGCATGCATCGGTGGAGCGAGAGCTGGGATCCTCTCAGATCGGATTCGACCGAATTGTTCTGGAGCGGTCCGTGGGGCAGGGTGCGGGGGTCTCAGATGCTCCAGATTTTGCGAGTCTTGGGAAACCTCCAAGCCCGAAGCATGCAAGTATGACTGAGATGATCTGAGGTAACGGCCCACGTGTACGAGGCAAGTTGACCGGATCGTGGATGCAACACCGTTTGGAGCTGCGGTGCAGGCCATCTTGGACGGTCGATATCAGGCCTGTGCCTCTTGGAGATTGGCAAGCTTGGCTGGTCTGGACGGCTTACGCTGTACAACTGCTAGTGTGCGAATGCCGCTGCAACGTTTGGCTCATGCCCACAGGAAGTGACTTCGGTTTGCCCTGCTTTCGGGATATCGCAACAGCATGGTCGAGCGCCGCAGAAGCTTATCTCTGTTTCTTTGCTGCTCGTGGACATGGCTTCCTGCATGTGTTGCCAACTTGATGATTTGGAATGACGGCTATTGCGACATGGTGGTGGAAACGGAGAATCAGACCGTGGGTCTAGGCAAGTTCCCGCAGCTGATACACGCGCAGACTGCAAAGAAACTGCTGGGCTTAACAGGGCCTTCCACCCTCGCAGTCTATTTTGCTCCTCGGTCTGAGAAGGCCCATGCAAGTTGCAGAAGTTTGCTCGAGACAGAAGCTATGTTTCGGGCCAGGAGGTCCTTGAATGATCATACCGTGGCAAAGCTCTCATACCGATCCTCGTCGGTCCTTTTCTCATGTAGGACTTAGGACGGGTAGGACAAGCCTTATCATCTGCGTCAGTCGAAGAAGGACATAGGAACGCGTCCTGCTGGGAGGCCGTGATGCACCTTGTTGCTCCCGAGGGACCGCCAGGCAAGCGGCAACGTACCTTTGAGGCCCGCATCAAGTGCATCGGATTGCACAGATGCTTTGATACTTTCGGCCTGACTTTGTTTGAAGCCTCGCTGCCGACCGTACAGCGCACTAGTGACATTCGGGTATGACAACGGGTTTGGAGTTTGAGCAAATCCCGGTGCAAATGCTCTCTATCAATGCTCTTTAATTCCGTCATAGTGGTTGGGCTACAACGACTGCACACCTGCAGGAGTATAACTACATGACGATCTCACCACAGCTGCATGAGCTCAACATTATGAGAAGTCACCTGCATTCTCACTGCCTTCACTCACTACCTTATATATGGCATTGCATTGCACTGCACCGTGTGGCTTTGTCTCTCCCAGCCCCTCCTACCCTGGCCCATCTGGTCGTAGAGCGATTCACCATAAAGCCTCCTGCGGTCTGTTCTTGTGGTCATCTTGACCTTAGTCGGTGTCTGTGAGCTGAGAGGTTCCAGACTTCACCGGTCGCATGGCCCAGTTCCACGAAGTGCACATCCCTGCCAAAGGGGATGGCTGGGACTGCTCCCATCCTCTGGCGGCGGAGGAGGCCTCATCTTTATTCACTTTAATCCTACCGGCTCTTTTCCTGCTGGTGCTGGCAGTGTCCTTGGCGCTGGGTGGCTCGAACATCGGGCCCTGGGAGACTGGCCTTTGGATTGCCATCACGGTCTATTTCTACCTTCAAGGCATGCTTTCAGTGTATCGCCTCAGCAATTCCTACCTTGCCTATTGCCAAGAAGTGGGCATTGGCACTTGCGATGTGCATGGCGACCGAGTCTGGGGCCTCTACGACGACACGAAGTGGCTGAATCAAGTCTTTGGTGGCAGGCGCTGGGACCGAAAGGACTTGCAGACCCGGGAGCTCGTGGCCAACTTCCCAAGCATCCTGGCCTTCGTGGTCTTTTACCTTCTCTTAAAGGCGCTTCTAGCGAGAGCTTCCAAAAATCTGGAGTTCGCCGGAACTCTTCTCCTTGGTGCCGGCTACGTCTGCTTTCTTCACGAGTTCACCATCCTCCAGCCTCTTTCTTTCGCGCTGCTGAATTATGCGATCTCCCGATTTCTGGCCTCCGGGAACCGACTGGGCCGGGCCATGCTGGTCCCCTGCAGTTGGCTGCTTGGTATCCTGGCCTTGGCGGCTGCCGGTCGGGAGCTGAGTCTCGAGACGCTCTTCCGGTCTCTGGGCAGCAGAAAGCTGCAAGCCTGGGGCCGTTGGATGGACCGCTTCCAGGGAGAGCTGTCCTGGTTTAGTGTCCTACGCTTTTGGGTCTTACGCTGCATCAGCTGGACCGTGGACTTTTCTCGTAGCTTGGACGCGGGCAAGACGGGCACGTCCACGATCACGGGGGTTGAAAGCAGCAACAGTGGTTGCGACCACAAACATCGCGCGGATGCCAGTCGACCGTTGCAAGAGTACAAGAGCCTGTCCTTGTATGCGGCATACCTGCTCTACCCACCACTGTATATGACAGGCCCCATCATCTCCTTCAATGCTTTCGCATCTTACATGGAGCAGCCTCAGGTGGAATTTCAAGGGTGGGCCCTGGCGAGGTACTGGCTCCGCTGGCTAGTCGACACCTTCCTTTTCATCGCTTTTGGGCACTTCCTCTACACCTCGGCCTTGGCAGTGAACGGGCCGCTGACAAGCATCCGAGACAACAAGGCCGTGATGTTCGATAATCTCCTGAATTTCGGCTTGGATGGTGAGACCATGATCTGGTTTTCCTTTTGGTCCCTGAAAGGCCTTTGGTTCAAGTTTCTGGTGATTTGGCGCTTTGCTCGAGGTTGGGCTTTAAGCGATGGCGTGGCAGCGATGGAGAACATGGAAAGGTGCATGTGCAACAACTACTCTGTTAGAGATTTCTGGCGAGGCTGGCATCGATCCTTCAACCGATGGCTGGTTCGCTACGTTTACGTGCCTCTTGGAGGATCCGGATCTTTCTTGCGCCAGCTTGGAAGCACCGCCTTGGTATTTACCTTCGTGGCAATCTGGCACGAACCTACCTTACTTCACCTGCTCCGAGAGGAGCAGCGATTGCTCGCTTCCGGACTGCGTTAGATTGCGTTCTGCTTTTAGTGTTTTTTGTATTGAATTGCGTTATGGTGCGTTGGTGCTATTCTTGTTGTTATACTTTCGGTGTAGCTTATGTTTTTGAAGCATGACTTGACATAGCAGATCAGATCATGACATAGCGCATCGAATTTAACATATCACACCATTTCATATTACATTCTTCTATTCTAAGATTCCGTACTGTACTGTATTGCTAGCCCTGCCTCCAAATTGGGTGAGGAGTCAACTTAAACTCGGTATTAAGTTACCAGATGGATCTTGGATGACAGAAACGGATCCAAAGTATGTCTATTTCATTGGTCTTCATATAATGTAATACCAAAGAATGCACTGTGCTAAAACGTAACTGAAAATAAATTGAATACTAGCCTTCAGAAGTGAATATTTTTAAATATGATTAGAGTGGACTACAATGAGGCACGGTAGCCTTCTTCTACCTTTCAAATTGCGGTGGTTTCTGATATCATAGTATACCAAGTATAGTACATGAAAAATGCAGGGTTATGATATATAAAATTTTTAAAAGTCTGATTTCGCAGAAATGTAACGTAATGGAACGTAATCGAGAATGGTGCCAGGGGTTCTGTCGCGCTTGTTTCTTTGGCAGGTCTGGGGCTGGCTTTTGGCCCTGTTTGTGGTCCCGGAGCTCGCAGCGGAACGCCTTTGCAGTTTGCCGCGCTGCAAGGCGGGGACCCGACAGCCTTCCCAAGAAACCTCAACTTTACTCGACGAACCCTGTAGGCCTGGCTTGACGGCCATCCCACAGCGGCCCGGCACCTGAGAGCTTTCGGAGGCGCCTGCAACATACAGATGCTCATCATCGCAAATCTAGTTGGCTACTCCTACGGCCTGAAGGGAGCCAGCTACCTGCTCCTCACAGTGAGTAACCCCAGGATGTGGCGTTTTCTAGCTGCCTTCGTCGTTTGGCTCTTCGCCAAGACGCAGTTGATGTTGATTATCCGACAACGCGAAGCTCGTGCCGCCGAAATCGCTGAGCGCCCAAAGTTGGCCTCAAAGTCGAAGTTAAGTAAAGATGACTAGAAAAGGTCCCGGCCGGTGAAAAACAGGAGCTGATGGTGCCTTTACTTGGGTTTTTGTTCAGCTCTTCCCGCGCCGAACAGGTCGCTGTCAAGCAGATCGATTGGGACAAGTCCAGCTCGGGGGAACAGGTGGGCTCTGGCGGCATGGACACCGATGGGCACTCTGTGAAGTTTTGGCCTTGAAGGAACAGCGTGCGTTTGAGCGCGAAGTTGCGGTTCTCATGAGGCCCCTCTTGCTTAGCGTAGCTTCCACATCTCGCACCCGAGCTGCCAGGACGTGTCATGAAAACCTTGTCCAATTCCTGGGAATCTCGTCAATTGAAAGGCGAGAGGACACACGACGTTGTTGCTGCCACCTTGCAAAGGCGTCCTAAAGCACACACACGTTGCACAGGCCTTTCCGGATCATCACCGAGCCACAGCCCAAGAAAAACTGTCGTCATTTTGTCGGACGTTGTGCCCAACAGGGGGTTTCGCAACTCCCTGTGCCGCAGGTTCTGCGCGGGAGGCTGCGTCTTTTCCTTGCTCCACAACCAGGAGCCCTGGCCTCAGGCGTGAGAAAATTTCTCCGTGGCCTTGGGTCTCTTCTGACTCAGGCTTCTTCTTTCCTGGTGCCGGGCTGAGATATTGGAGAGATTTCTGACACTTCTGACATCTGGTCAAACATGGCTCCATGTCGGCAGGTCCCAGAAGCTGCGGATCTGCATACATGTCGCAAAAGCGATGAAGTATCTACATGAGCGGGCGCCTCACCTCACAGGAGCACTCAGCACTTGCAGTGGCCTAGCGTCCCAGGTTCAACCCGCAGGTGATCCACCGGGCCTTTACCTCGGCTGTCACTGGAACCGAAAAGCCGGGCGTAAACACGTTGGAAGACATTGCAAATTACTATTCTCTCATGGCTTGCTGCAGAGCACGCCCATGCACATTCCAGTCCCCAAGTAGCTTGCCTCAAAAACAGAGCCTGGCAAAGTGCAAATACTCACAAAGCCTGGCCCCAGCAAGACCGTGCCAAATGTAATTCCCGAAGAGTTTGCCTCAAAAGACATGATCTATAGTTAGTTGTGTTGGAGACATGTGTTAGTTTCCTTTTGATCCCTGGATATCTTGTTCTTGATGCAGGTGTGGTGCTTCTGATTCCTAAGGCTGCCTTGTTGATGTTGGCGCTCAGGACCTGAAGTCCCTGAATCTGCTGCTGAGCAGCCCCGTGAAGAGCCAGGAGGATGCACCCTTCATCAAGGCTGGGCTCCCAAGCGGTCCACTTCAACAAAATCTCAAGCCATTTGTGTTGTTCAGATCCTAGAAGCCATGCTGCTTTCTCTGCTGCTGGTAGCAACACCGGAACCTTGCGGACTGCCACTACTGTACTGATGCTGCCTTTCTGAATCTGCTCCTGATGCTACCACCAGGACTTCTACAACGAACACGCCCACACACACACACACACGCGCGCGCGCGCACGACTGTGACGAGGACTTGGACTTGCGTAGAGCAAGCAAGGCCAATATCCCCGAGCCAGCCACAAGATAATTCTAGGGAATGCCAAAGCTGGTCGGAACGATGTTTGCGCTAGGTTGATTCTTGGTGTGAGAGCTGGTGATGCCATGGGCATGAGCGTAGTTTCGAGGTGGTGTTCGATGTTCTGGGCTTTGTGAAGTTGGCTATGTTATATGTGGCCTGCAGCATTCTGAAGTGAGAAGGGTGTTGGATGATCTGCAGTACATACTGTCTTCAGCTGGCTATGAGTGTTGGGGAATCTCGGAACGCGCTTCTAATGTTTTCGAGGTGCTTGAGCGGGTATTCGAGCACTCACGTAGAATAAGTACGTCAAAGGCCCAAAGGTAAACACAGGCTGGTGCTGGAACGAGCTGACCACATGGTACCGGCATTTTTTGAGTTTTGACAGGGCATTACCCGCCTTTACACCCCGTGACTTCAGGTCAAGGCCCATCAGAACAGCTTGAACCAGCTGGACAAAAGCCCGTTGAACCAGCTCTTGAAGCGCGTTCAAGTTGATTGTGCCGGTCCAGCCTTCCCTAAGACCAGCCCGTCAGTCAGAGACGCCGCATTACTTCAAAGAGCCTCCAAGCCCCCCTGCAACACGGTTTAGGGTTTGGGGGTTTAGGGCTTTAGGGATTTAAGGATTTAGGGTTTAGGTTTAAAGTTTAGGATTTAGGGTTAAGGGGTTAGAAGCTCCAGAGTTCGTTGAGCAAAGACCGAGCGTAGCCTTCCCCGGAATGCGTTTGCTCTTGCTGTTGAGCGATTGCAAAACGCACGACAGGGTCCTGGGTTGTGCATCTACGTAGATGCTTCATGTTTTTCTTGATTCTAGTTGCTGCTCTTGCTGTCGGCGGTGCTAGTATGAGTGGTCTTCTTACAATATACCTTGGTGGAGTGGTTCGCTTCTGACGAAGGTCTCGGACTTCGGGCTGGCACGCATCAAGTGGCAGGCAAAGCTCTGCTCCTTTCTCTGAGAATCTGGCCTTGGCTTTGGCTCTTTCGGGACTACAGTCCCTATAGTCCAAGCGCAGGCACCCGACTCCAGTTGGGGAAAGATGACCCGAGCAGCAGGCCCACACTGGGGCACGAGTTGTGGCCCTTAGCGCGGAGCTGCAGGGAAGAGGATCTTCCAATTTTGGAAGGAACTTGCCACTGGATGGCTCCGGAAGTCTTTGTGAGCCATACCTATGACGAGAAGGCAAGGCTGCAGTTCTGAGGCAGCTGCCATGCCTGTCAATGAATGCCTTGCAAGGTGGATCTTTACTCCTACGCCATGATCCTGTTTGAGTGCCCTCAGCATTATTGCGGCAGGTATGAGTCTCTTTGGGGCAGCAGGGATACACTCCCGCACCGAAATCCCCGTCAGCGCAACTGCTCCTTCGGATGACAGGGTCATTTGCCAAGAGATTCCCTTCGAGGCGAGGCACAGAGCCTAGGTGCACCGTGGGTTCTGGTTTAGTCCTCTCAGGATCAAAACCCAGCAGACATTGGTCGCCTGGCCGTGAAAGGCTGCCGCCAGCTCCTGAGTTGGAGTGCTGCTTATGATGATTAGCTTCCTGCTTCAAACATGATCTTGTGTTAAAATGTAATGTACCATGGCATTGCTTTATCCTTCACTGTATGCTTGTGGTGATGGTCGACCATAGCTCTTTGTTGCCGCTGTTTCGCACGGTGGCCTGCGGCTAGGACACTTAAGTGCAAAGTCGTTCCGAGTATACGGCGATCGTGCTGCGCTCGAGCGGCTTGAGGTCCTGACCTGGCCTCAGCCGGGGCCTCGAAAGTCAGAGTTCGAGGAGAGGCGAAAGAAAAGAAATCTTGCGTTCGCCCCGAGCTCCATAGCCCATAGCCATCAACTCGATTCTTCATCCTGCGCCCTTGCGTCTCTTGAGCAGGTGCCCGAGGAGTGTCCGGAGATCCTGTGCAAGCTGATGCAGTGCTGCTGGGTGGGAAGCTAAGGCAGTGCAAACAGGATGTCAATGTGGACCAGCAATCAAGCAATCACCAAGTACTCAATATAGAGCAATTACTACATGTTCATCGGTGCTGTGTTGTTATTGTTGTTGAATGTTTGTGTTTGTTCGTGTGTGTGTGTGTGTGTCGTGTGAGTGTGAGTGTGAGTGTGTGTCTGTGTGTGTGTGTGCGTTTTTTCTTTTTTTTGTGTGTGTGTGTTGTTTAGTGCTGGTCGTTGTGTTTGTTTGTGTGCCTGCCTGCCTG